TCCAGGAAGTTTTTTTTTCAACTGTCATGAATTGCAGTTATAATATTGGTAGCGTGTTGTGTTATTCCTTTCCTGGCATGAAGTTTCTCCGGTGTAAACAAAGTGTCTTTTCTTCATGTTCTAACTTTCAATACACCTTCTATTATATTAAAACAAAATTATCATCAACATCAGAAGACGAAATATTTCAACTGGCTTGTATGGCTTCTATGCGGAGTCCATCGATATCGACAAAACTATCCAATGATAATAGTGTAATGCAAATTACACATGGTGCAAATTACACATGGTGCAAATTTCAAGTATTGTATACCTTGTAACATTGATTGTTAGTTGTACAAAGTTTTTTGAACTGTCAGTGAAGCAAAATTGTTCATCCATTCGAAAATATGCATTCGTAATAATTGCTTTGAACAAAACTATCGCTATATTCATACCAAACAATGTTGTTACGATAAACTGAAAAAACGTCACAAATCTGATGAGAAAAAATGTACATTTTTGAACAAATGTTTAATGGTGTCACTGTTCCATTTCTTTTCTCTTCTTTTAAAGTTATACGGATCTTTCAATGATAAAAAATGATATATTAATAATATAAACCTAATCTTTTTAAGGTTTTAAGTGTCCAGACAGTAGGCGATTGACAGGAAATGTAAATATATATATTGTAAACTGAAGCAATTTTAATTAGTTAATTACTGTCTGTTGGATTGTGTTTAAAAACTAGACATTTTCATGGACAACATTTTGTTTACAATATTAGAAAATTATACGAATTGCAATAAACACATTGAAATACCCCCACCCCCTGTATTCTAATATAAAAAAATGATGAAATATTCTGAAACAATATCCAGTTTATATTAACTACATACAATTTCAAATAATTTTTCTATAACTTTTTTCCATGCATTAGAGACATATAATGTATATGTTTCTGCCTACATCTTGTAAAAATCTAATAAAAATATATTCAAAAACTTAATGAATACCAAATTTACTACTTTTTTTTATTATCGTGACTTTATTTCCTGTGACCCTTAATTTTCCTTTGACTTTTTATCTTTGACTTTTTTCCGTGACTTTTTTCCCTACATTCGTTGTTACAACCACAAAGTCGTTTTTTCGTCAACAATCTATTCTGACTATAATTTCTAAAACGCTTCTTCAATTCTTTTCAATGAAACCGAATTTAAAGTGTTAATTCTATTACCTGAAAGGTCCAGTTTTTTCAGTTTTCTTAGATTCTGAATATTTAAAGAGATATCTTACAAGGCGTTATTGCTCAAGTCGATTAACTGAAGGTGTGGATGTCCTCTAAATATTGAAATGTTCAAACGGTTAATATCACTATGTGACAAGTGGATTTATTTTAACTTTGTTATTTGCCATGCATATATACATTTGTTTTTAAAAAGTTTCCATTTTTTGTAGATTATGATTGGCAAGGCCGGGATCATTTCAGTCATTGTTAATTTTCAACTGTGAAACATCCGCAATCTAATTAAAATATAGTTCTCTGCTTTCGTTATACTCATATGCTTATATATACGAGCAGGCGAGTGTATATGGATCAGAATTTTACTCAGATTGAAACATCCGAAGTCGTTCAATAAATTTTGCATGGCATCTGGTTGTACTGATATTTCGCTAAGATTAAGAATTTCGAGGATTTTTACGCACAGGGTGAATCAGTTTAACATGTTCATAATATTGCATTGTGCACTTTGAATTGATTAGTGAGTTCAGCTGTTTAAAACTTATAAAGGTTTAGTTTCAAAAAAGCATATTGCAAACCCGTATTTTAAGGCGTCGTAGAGGTGAGTCAGTGTAAATCCGTATCCGAAAGATATAACGACTTTTCATTGGTGTAATAGCCTCTATTAAATTGTCGGAAGGTCTAGTTAAACATGAAATAACTACCATGATCTCGAAAATCAACGCATTCACCAGCATATTTTTTGGTGTTATACCGTATATTCAAGTAGGTGATGTATGTTTCATTAGTTTCAAAACAAATTTTGGAAATACTGCAAAGTTATACCATAAATCATTTTTAGATTGATTGATTGATTGTAGGTTGCTTAACGTCCAGTGGCAAATATGTCATGCATCTTCAGGCTGATCCTCTAGAGATAACGAATTAAAGTATCCCAGTCCATAAAATGCACCAGGTTACAAATGGTTAATGATCGATGTTCTTACTTAAATCCAGTTTTATTTAATGTTTTAAAACAGCAAAAGAATTGATTTTAACGATTTTAAGTTCGTTAGCATTAGGACTAAAGTCAAGAACATTTATATTTGATGGAAACTTTGGAACGTGCTACATCAATGAACATACTATTGTGAAGAAATGATCGATTGTTTTACAAGAACACCAGACATCAAAATTGCACTGCTTCTGTATATGTAATTCAGCAATTGCACAAGAAAAATATAGCACATTGTGGACCATATCATTTTCCATCACCAAATAGATTTGCAAGAATAAATATATAAAACAAATATGTATTAATAAATATATTTTACCTTTACCCTCGGGTATTTATAATTCAAACCTCCCGATTTCTCTTGTGCATCGTCCCAATACAAATAAAATATCGCAGGCCAATTAATATTTGGAAACCTTGGCATGACTTGTTAGCCAAAGGCCCGAAATATCCAATTCCCCAGCCCATCAGCTGGAAGATGAAATCCAGGTTACTGATGGATGCTGTTGAGGGATATGTGACCAGAAAATGGATAGAGCGCGAGCCAGATGAGCCAAACGGGACATTTTATCTGAATCATCGGGATCAAAGCTTTTAAGTTAGGCATTCTGAAGCGCATTCAAAGTCTACAATGTTCAAAGATCACACGGTTTTGACCCTTTCAAGGAACACGACGTTGTGGATGTTTTTCTCTCTTCACGACAAATATGTTATTGTTCCACCAGACTAAGCCCCAAACACTTTTGTTTTATATGCAAAAGTCATCATTCGGAATGCCTCAGTTAAGAAAAAAGGACAAATCCATCCTTCTCTCTTTTGATATAATAAGTAAACATTAAATAAATCATAATTTTGTTTTGTAATCCAAACATTCCATCAAGATTTCAATATATTTCAATAAGGGGTTCTCCATTTATCACAATCAACAAAAATCACAAAATTTAGATTTTTTTGTTCCAACCATCAACTACCATAACTCTGGAACTGTAAAAGCAAAATCAACAAAAATCGAATTTAACCTGTCTTTTGTGGTTCAAAACATTCCATTAGAATTTGAATTCTATTATTGAAAAAGCAGTGCCTTATCTATCCGATGATCTGGAAACAGTCAAATTTTTCCATCAATCAAGTACGTTCCATTAATTTGATCTTTATTTATCATCAGAAAACTATTTTTTTATTCTTATTTATCCAACAATCAAGTACCATAACTTGGAATGATAAAAGTCAAACGAATGAAATCGAACTTAAGGTGTCAGACCACCAATTCATAATCCCTATCTATTCAACTTTTTTTTTCAAATTTCACAGCTTTCTAAATATTTTACCTTTAGTTTAACTTCATAGAAACCAGGTATATCCTGAAGTGTACGTGCATCACCTTTCTACATGCCATTTTTCAACCTATGTTTAAAGTCTTGTAGTGAAATACCAATGTTCCGAAGATAACTACTACTAAAAATAACCCCTGGTTTTCTGGAAGTCTTAAATAAGTATACTATAGAGCGCATTGATCCTCAATTTTCAATGCAAACTCATGGACAAGTAAATTATGGCAATGGTCTAAATATATTTCTCTATCACCAACAGTTTCATTAACAATAATATCGAAAGCACTATGTTTTGTCAGTGTAGGGCTAATATTACATATGTTCTAAATTAGAGTGGGTGAATTGGTGGTCTGACACCTTAAACTGTCTTTAGTGGTCCGAAAGATTCCCGCATTTAATTTTCAATTAATTTAAAAAAGCACTGTTCTCTATTTATCATCAGCTAATGAAATAGTCATGACTGGAAACCAAAAGTGTGACGGACGGACAGACATGCAGATGACTCGGGTGGTCTGACACCTTAAACTGTCTTTAATGGTCCAAAACATTCGATTAAATTCTCAATTAATTTCAAAAAGCGGTTCTCTATTTATCATCAGCTAATGAAATAGTCATGACTGAAAACCAAAAGTGTGACGGACAGACAGACATGCAGATAGACCGACGAAGGGACTGCCGACGGACATACATGTTCCGTGGACTGACGGAGGAAAGAACGTCAATTTACGAATAGCCGGACGGAAATGAGGATTCCTATATACACCGCTCTATATCGAGCGTAGGTATAAAAATGAACTAAACTTCCGACACAAACATCCTTATAGAGAACGATATATAACCGGGTTCCACTAAATATCTTTATAAAGTTTTCCCCACCATACTTTTTGCAGTAAAAGATGGCCTTCAGAAATACTTGTCAATGAGTGTGATGAGGACGTATATGATCGTATATCATTTCATACAGTGGTGTCAATCAGATGTGGATTCAATAAAGATTTTAAACACCTACTCAAATAGTTTCCAATTCCAATCTTTACAATTTTGCAGTTTTATCAAAACTTTTGATTTTTCTACACTATTCCCTGTACCGTCAATTGAAAGATCGACTCATATCGTAGACCAGTGACTTTCTATACTAACGGTTAGCATTAGCAATATATATATAGCATAGAAATAAATATGATATACTATTCTATAATGGACTATAATGATATAAACTGCACGCTACATATTTAATCTCTCTTGATCTTTTCTGGTTTTTTTTATTGGTAAATAATTTGGTGAGTCAGTTGCCTCATTGCCTGTCCTCAATCAGTCAATAGAAGCTTCACCACCGAAAAATATATAAATAAAATGTTTAACCAGAAAGTTTTAAAGTTTACCGCACCAATCGCATCTATTCCGTGTTTTATTTTTTTTTAACTATTTTCTTCTATGACACATGCGCAATAAAACGAAACAAAATATTTCCGGTTGTGTATTTTGCATCAAAAAAGGTAAACACTCTCATTTCAATTTCTCAACTTAAAACTTTTATGCATTAAGCTATAGGAATGTTATTAAAGAAAACCCCTTACGTATTTTTATTTGCAAAGATGCATTTCGCTTGCTGTCAAATTTTGCGCACGTTGTATTTGTAAACAAGATTGATTCAGAATTTCATAGCAGTCGATATAATTTTTTTTACCGGTTTACTTTAATACTTGGTCGCAGGGAAAAGGCTGTAGGGAAAATGGAAGTATTTATTCTTCCGTAGGCGACAAAACTAACATTTTTAAAATTTACTACTTTTATAATTAAAACCATTACAAAATAGTTATGTATGGTATTAGTACTTTATTTTTCTGTTTTAGAAATTGAAGTCAAATACTAGTATCATGACCATCTTCCAACAGAGCTTGTTTATGGTATCCATGCCCACCTTCATTTTACATCAAATTTATGAAAATTAGGTAGTGTCTTCGAATAATTCTCAAGAAATATTTCAATGGGTTTCAAAATTTATATTGTAAATATACACACTGCAGTTATTCATGAATAAATAAAAAAATATATTATACCCTTACATCCAATCACAGCGCTCCTAAGTTGACTTCCTTCAACTGCCCTGTGTACACAAAAGGCCAACCTAAAGCTGGGAAAATGTAATACTACTTTTTTCCCTGTATAACAACTATGAGATATATTATTGATCATATTTTCCTTGCTACATGTATTTGAGGCACGTGAGACCTATGAAAGGGGTCAAAGTCAGCAAACCTTTACAATACTTTATGATATCCCATTTAAAGCAAATATATATTATATATATAAACATTTTAATACTGTAAAAAAAAATCCCACCATAATTTCTGGTGGAAAAGTAATTGAATTATGGAAACCTATCCAATGATGGTCCTATTGTTGGGAATTTAATGTATGACATCATTTTCAATGTAAAGAAAAGTTATCTTAAGGTAGTTTGTTTTCTCTCTTTTTAAAGTATATATTGAAGTTTAATTAAAAACATAATAAATTTAAATTTAGAATCAACCAATAAACAAAGGTGGCTTATTACTGATCTTTGTACATATACAAAAATCTGTCTGATTGATCTGAGGTGAATTTCCCAAGAGAAGTCATTTTGTATTCTATAAAATTGTATATTGAATAAGCTCTAGACTCATTTTATTATGTACTCAAACAGAATAAATTCAAAATGTTTGTCCTCGTTATTCTTTTTGGTTATCAGTTATATGGGGATGAAATTCCCAATATCAGTAAGAAAATCAATAAAACGAAAAATCAGTATAAAAATCAATATACTAATGAACTCAGAATCATTAACTTTTTTTTTTTACTTTTTTCTAACAGTTGAGCTTATGCATTACCCCGTTCCTGTTCTGATGACTGATGCTGTCATGTTTATAGTCATATGCTTTCCTGCAAATTTGTATATTTACAGGCTGGCCATCTTAAAACAGGTCATGGAGATCCCTGATGCTCAAATTTGTTAATATAAATGGATGGTCCTACATGTACTCCCTTCACAGATGCGAGTGATTCACACTCTACTCATTCTCTTATTCCCATCACAGATTCTACTCATACTCTTACTCTTGCTCCAGCGATTCACAGACTCCACTCATGCTCTTAGGGTGCACTCCACGGTTAGGAAATAAAATTAAAATATAAAAACTACAGTACTCCCATCACAGATTCTAGTCATTCACCGTGTCTACTCATGCTTTAACTGTCAAAACAGATTCTAGTGAATCAAAGACTACTCATACTCCTACTCCAGTCACAGACTCTTACTCATGCTCTTTCTGCAGTGATTCACGGACTCCACTCAAGCTCTTAGGTTAGTAAGGTAGGACTCCACAATTAGGAAAAAAAATTAAAATATAAAAACTACAGTACTCCAATCACAAATTCCAGTCATTCACAGAGTCTGCTCATGCTATAACTCCCAACACAGATTCCAGTGAATCACAGACTACTCATCATCCTGCTCAGCCTCTTACTCGAGGGATTCAGGGGCTCTTTCATGCTCTTATGTTGCACTCCACAGTTAGGAAATAAAATTTGAATATAAAAACTACAGTACTCCCATCACAGATTTCAGTCATTCACAGAGTCTCAGTGTTCTCAGAAATTTCTTATATCATCCTGGCAAACAGGGAATTATGAAATACCATCTTGTGTCTAGAAACTATAGCATCACATCCATAACACTATCTATAAGAAACTCATTTCAGATAGCATCACATTCTAGCAATATAGCATCACATTACCATGATGCTAAAAGGCCCTGGGGAGAACACTGAGTCTACTCGTGCTTTAACTCACAACACAGGTTCCAGTGATTCATAGACTCTACTCATGCTCTAACACCCAACACAGATTCTAGTGATTCACAGACTCTTTAATTTTCTTGCTTTAAACTCCAATCATAGATACCAGTGAATTACAGACTCTACTTATGCTCTTACTCCCATAATAGATACAGTGTACCAGTGATTACAGACTACCCCAAATTACTCCCAGTCTCTTCTCCTCAGTATCTTGGAATATTTTTATTACCTTGATACTTTTATGTAGAAGGATAGATATACAATGCAATATCCATAGATAAAAATACTCAGAATATTACCCACTGAGCACCCTGAAGCTCCCTTTGTAATATCGAAGGTACAGCACTGGGTGATGATGGAGATAATAGATAGCCGACATCCTCCCAACAGACTAATTACTTATAACAATTAAATATGAATTATCGAACAGTCGCAGTGTCTTCCCTAGAAAAATTTTCATGCATGGTGGGTCCATGGTGAATTTGCAACGCGGCATGCGATGCTTCTCTTTCCAGAATTAGTTACACTACATAATTTATATGTTTAAAGCCATATACCAATCTAATTGTTTTATTATAGGTACAGCAATTCATATAAGTCATGGAACTTTAAAGTATTTATTACAGATGAGAGGAATTAATGAAAGACTTTATAAACAATAATAAAAATAATCCAGTCTGCAATAGTTATTTACAAATTAATGCCATGTACACATTATTTTGTTGATATCTTCCTCTGTTTCAACTTTCCAAAGGTCACCACACATTTTTCAAAATCAAAATCTTCCTCCTTTGGTCCTTCAATTGATATATGCATTAAGCAATTCAGCACTTTTTGGCGTAGTCTATTTCTCAAAGGTGTTTTAACTCTGTTTAAGCATGAAAAACACCTTTCACAATCAGCTGTTGAAACTGGCAAAAGAAGACCAATTGCTGCATACTTAGACAGACAAGGATACAAAGTTCCAAGACTGGCAACTTTGTTCATTGTCTGCCTAAATGTCATGTCTTTACATTCTTTCCACAGGCACTTGTCTCAGAAAAAATTTCCTATATACCTTAATAATATATTAAGGTATATAGGAAAAAAAATTTCTGAGACAAGTGCCTGTGATTCTTTCACTAACAGTGTCCTCAGTTTGCTGATATAATGGTTTCAGCATCAAAAGCAAGTTGTTAAATAAAACTTTGAATGTCATCATTGCTTCACAGAGATTTTACAGGAAACAATAAAACAAAGTTTATTTGCGTTAATTACAGAAGTCGTCGATGAAGAATACCTGACATACGGACATACGGATGACATTGTTTGGAAGCTAAGCTGACATTTTATTTCATGACAATTTCTAACTATTTTTTTGAAATACATCTCTGTCCGATTTATTTACAACGCTTCATAATTGTAAAAATCCTATCTTGCCGAAGTGAAAGAAATTTAGCCCCACTTGTGTAAAAAGCGGCAAATGAATCCGCTACACTTAAAGCTTCATGTGACCCATTGAAATAAAAATAGAACAACACAAGTTTATTAAAAACAATATTTCCTTAAATAATTACGTATGTTTTGATAGTTTTTCTATCAAATCTTTTAAATTTCATAAGACACGTCTTTTTCTCGGCCCGGTGGCGGTGATGTGTATTCTTTGATATAACCAATCAACCACGACTAATCTAAAAATAACTGATTGTTGTGACCAATCAAAAAATAATTCATAGATGTAAATATAGCTGATGAAAAAACTGCGAAACTTTATTAAAACAAAAGTTTTGTCCATTCTCGGTGAAATTACCTTAGTTTTATTTTATAATACCAGACACTATACCAAATTTTAAATTTCTACTTTTTATACGACCGCAAAAAAATTTTGCGGTCGTACATTGGTATGACGTTGTAGTCATCGTCGTCGTCGTTGTCGTCCGAAGACACATTGGTTTTCGCACTCTAACTTTAGTTTAAGTGAATGGATCTCTATGAAATTTTACCACAAGGTTCAATACCACAAAAGGAAGGTGGGATTGATTTTGGGGGTTATGGTACCAACAGTTAAGGAATTAGGGGCCAAAAATAAGCATTTTTGTAACTTCCAGACATAACTTGTGTGTTAGTGTATGGATCTCTCTGACATTGTACCACAAGGTTCCATATCACAAAGGGAATGCTGGGATTGATTTTGGGGGTAATTGCCTCAAAATTTTAGGAATTGGGGGCCAAAAAGGGGCAAAAAACAAGCATTTTTCTAGTTTCATGACAATAACTTGTGTGTAAGTGTATGGATCTCTCTGACATTGTACATGTACCACAAGGTTCCATATCACAAAGGGAATGCTGGGATTGATTTTTTCGGTAATTGCCTCCAAATTTAAGGATTAAGGGGCCAAAAAGGGGCAAAAAACAAGCATTTTTCTAGTTTCATGACAATAACTTGTGTGTAAGTGTATGGATCTTTATGAAATTGAACTACAAGGTTCCATATCACAAAGGGAATGCTGGGATTGAGTTTGGGGGTAATTGCCCTAAACATTTAGGAATTTGGGGGCCAAAAAACAAGCATTTTTCTAGTTTCCAGACAATAACTTGTGTTCAAGTGTATGGAAATCTCTGAAATTGTACTGCAAGGTACCATACCACAAAGGGAAGGCTGGGATTGAGTTTGGGGGTGATGAATCATAATGGGGTTCAAAATTGGGGGAGGGGGATTTTTTTTTCCTTTTTTTTCTTTTAAATTTTCCATTTTAAATTGGTTACTTCTGATTTATATATAAAAGCAAATAATAATGATATGGTTTGAATAGGTAAATTAAAAAATTTTAAGTTCTTAGAACACATTCATTCTGTGTCAGAAACCTATGCTGTGTCAAATATTTAATTACAATCCAAATTCAGTGCTGTATCAAGCTTGAATGTTGTGTCCATACTTGCCCCAACTGTTCAGGGTTCGACCTCTGCGGTCGTATCAAGCTGTGCCCCAGCGGAGCATTTTATTAATGATCACAGTAAAATAATGGAGGGGGGGGGGTAGGACCTTTATCGGGACTCCGGGATCGGGTGTTTTTAAGCTCGGGATTTCGGGATCCGGGAATTCTTTTTTTGAATTTCGGGATGTCGGGATTTATTTTTTTTAAATTTCGGGACCTCAGGATTCCATGTTTTTAAGCCCGGTATTTCGGGATCAGGACCCCTCCTTCCCCCCCTCAATAATGATGTCAAACACCCGTTTTAAAGGTGAAATTTATACTGGAAAAGGTTAAACTTTTTATTAAGCACAGAAAGATATGCATTTGAGATTAATCTGACTATTTATCTATCAGCTAACTGGCAACTTCTATCATGTAACCAAAGTCTCGATATATATAACCAACTAATCAAGAAGGTTGTAAAATCCCGGCACACGCGACGTGATGCATCCACTTATCAGTCGGATGAGTTTAAAACACATGTGGAGTGTTGTCACTTGTCACTTCACTTTCAAAATATCGATGATAAATATTTTAAAACAGTTATAGTTTTCACACATAGCGGGATGCATTGCCGCAATGAAGAAAGCATGGCGGTCGAAATTTATGCGTAGCAGTACCGCAATGCTTGAATAGCCTATAGGGAAAACACTGCAGTCGTCATATCAGCCTATAATAAATTTGCCCTACCTGTCTCTCGTAAAAATATGCAAGGGTGTGGAAGCACTAACAATCTTAAACAAGGAAGAATTGTTTTGGTTGATGTTTATTTGGTAAAAATAATATTTGCAAGAACTAGCTGCTTAATTTTTTTTCTCTCTCTATTCGTCACAAAATTATTAACTTTCAAGAAGAACTATGAATTTTGTTCGTGTGGAGCAAATAATGCTATTCCTTGAAAAGGATCGATTCAATGACATCCATGCCAACAACAAGAAAAAATTGCTCAGTATTGACTTTCCAATCAATGTAATATTAAATACATGCCACCACTGAACCCATTGGGTGAACAAATGGGCATTTATGAGTATTTAAGAAATACCTGCTTTTGATGAGGGGTCAGTACTTTATCTATGGCTTTTATATCTATGGTAGAAGTATTGAAAATATTATACTTTTGTTATGTTTCAAAAGTGTTCTGTATTCTGTTTTCCAAAAAGTTTTTGGGACCTCATTATAAACAGCCAATCGTGATACTGATAACAAAATAATGAATGAAAACAGTTAAGGATTGTTGTACTTTATTTACAACCTCTACTTATTATTTTAATTAACAACTACCATTCATATGTCATACTCCAAAGGGACACTGGAAATAACAATCTCCCTGTTTGAAATAACCTCTTGAGGTTTGTCCAACTTACAATTAGACGATTAAACCTAAACGGTTTGGGAGGTTAATTTTGATTTTTTTGTTTAATAGCGGCTTCAATAAATAACTTAAAAATTAGTTTTAGAATACATTCTATCAAGATCTGTGCATACTTTTGTACAATTTTTCAGACCTTATTTTACTTCAAGATTTTGACAGGGGACTTTCTATATTTTATCAGAAAGTGAAAAAAAAGTTTGTATTACAATACAGAGTGAAACCCATATTATGGTCATTTTCATGTAGATTTGTATATTATTGTACATGTACAAAAAAATGTATGTCAAATTCAATGATAAAAGTTAATGTCTTTTTTGTTTTTTATTAGGTTAAAATTGTACATGCAATATAGAATGAACACTGTTCCTTGAATCCTTGATACATAGTGTTTAGAGTATATTTCATAGAATTGGTAAATAAAGGACGTCTCTTTCATAACTTTCTTTTGCAAAGTTAATATGATTTCTGGATATGTATAGTGCCATTTAAATATCACTATAATAAAAAACCCTTCAAGTCATGAAAGTATTTAAAAGTACATATAAGTATGTAAGTACGGTGCTATGGGTCGTCTTAAACTTGCAGCGAGGATAGAGTTTTTTTTCCTTTTTTCCTCTGTATTGAAGGCCTCACTATAACTGAGAATAAGAACAGCAATAAAAGTATGTTTAACTTTTTTGCTGTGCATGCACTGATTTTGTGTCATGGATTGATACCCCATATCCTTTGTTTTTCTATTATATTGAAGGATGATAAAAGGTTACAACAGTTGAGGCAAAATATACAATACCAGTCATTCTCTCATCTTAAATCACATAGCCAATTAATTTTCCCTATTGGCAAAACTAGCTTGAATAATAGCTTTGATATCAATTATCAAAATTGCATATATACATGTATATGATGTCTTTAATAACACAATAGATAACTTTCTAACCTGGACATCAATACCCAAACATTCATTTGACCTTAGCCTTTTCCGATTGATTCATACAGTATGTTCTTGTGTTCAATGTGTTGTTACACCCCTGTTCCAAGTTAACAGTGAGGGTTACCAGCTCACAATCATTTTAAATCCTGACACATTCTTCATACCTGTAATCCAGTAACTGCAAATTGGTTTTGGTTGTCATAATTGTTTTTCATTTATTGTTGTAGTATATCAATTAGTCATCCTATGGTATATTTTTCCTATTACATGCATATATGGTATGTGTTTTGCTCATTGTTGATGATCATTTGATGGCCAGTTATTGTTTACATCTTTGTCCTTTTTCCTGTAAAGAGTAATTCTCATTCAGTCATTGGTAATCATACCACATCTTCTTATTTTTATACTAATTTCACTCTCATTTGTAAATATCAATGTATTGCTTTTGATGAGTGGAACTCGTTGTATCTTGGTAAAAAATTGGTTTCTCTATCAATACAAGGGTCTATGAGTCTAACATGCTACAGTGTTTATTTGTTAAATGCTCCTGTGCTTGTTACATTGTATTTATCTAAATAAAGATTTGTATCATTATTATACAAACATTTATACTCAACAACAAAAGATTTCAGGAAAAATCAATACGATTTTTCAATTACAATAGTATTAAAGTCCTGTTTGAAAATCTTCAATAGCAGCCTGATTATCGCCAACTCATTAAAATTTCTTTGAAGTCAATGTGTCTCTTCAAGTGGTATCACTTTCTTGAAAAATACAGATTTCTGTAATTTGTTTTTTTCCCCATAAAAATGCACTTAACAACAACTGATTCTGTCAGCAAAGAGGTATTTCTTTTTAACTTTTTGTTACTGAAAATGCAAAGCACTAAATTGTAATCACAATTTCTAAATTTTACACATATGCATGACTGTCTCATTTTGAAAAATGGGATTGAAATATTGTGTTGATTGTAAGGGAGCTACCATTTGATTTTTATGGGGGGGCTAGGATGAAAAATTTTGTCCTGCCTATTTATTTTCCCCTCTATTTGGTCCTGCCTTTTTATTTTTCACTCTTTTCGGTCCTGCCTTTCTTTTTTAGTTTATCCTGATTTTTTTTTTACATAAATTGTCATCCTGCCATTTTTTTTTGCAAATAATTTCATCCTGCCTTTTTTTTTCACTCAAAAATCCTGTCCTGCCTATTTTCTTCAAATTTCATCCTAGCCCCCCCCCCCACCATAAAAATCAAATGGTAGCTCCCTTATTGAAGAAAAAAGGTACTTGACATTTCAGAAGGTCTTCATTTTCATGGTTCAGTGACTGCTTGAAAAAAAATTACTTAAATGGCAGTTTTTATTTGTAAGTGAAATACTCACTTATTATAAGTAATGTGATAACTATATTTGGTATATAGGGTTCCTTGCAACGTCTATCAGATAGGGTTCACCTGACCTAGACCTCATTTCATGGATCAGTGATGATCAAGGTTAAAGTTACATGTTCAAATTCGTATTTCAGATACTATAAGCATTAGGTCAACTATATTTAGTGTATGGATTGATTGATAATATTGAGTTTATGTAGTAAAACCTTCATATCACAGACTTTTAACATGAATTGAATGATAAGTCGAACAGTCGAGAAGTGTACTCATGTTAAATGCTGAGAATTCAATAATTTTTTTTATTTTTTTTTAAATATTGGGGAATTGCTGGTTTGAATTTGACCAAAAGGTCCTGCATGTCATGTGGTGAGTGTCTAATCCCAGTAGTTTTGCCCATATAGTCCTTGGTGATAATAAAATTACATTATTTCAAGTAAAATAACTGGATCCTTAATTTTTTGTCTGGTATATACATAAATGGAACATAAATGCACGCTTAAATGTATATGGCAGGGTAACGGTAGAGCTTATAGTTTTAAGTTTCCAAAGTTTCTTTATTTCAAGCTGTAGGCATTGTCTGTAGATAATCACATGAACCAGGGGAAAATTCAGTTTACTGAAAATTAATTGTAACTAGAAAGTTGAGGAAAACTTTTGTGGTTTTATTTTCATGTAAAATTTCCTGATTACCTTGTTATCTCTATTTCCTTAATTAATCTCTCATTAACCTGTAATGTGCATTGATCAATGTGTCTCATTGTTTACAACAGTTTTATGGGGTTTCTTTTCTATTTTTCATGACCAACGAAGGTATGTGTATGCCTTGCAGCACACAGGTTTACTTTGACAATCGTTAAAAATGCCAAGTGAAATCACTGTACATGTAAGTTAAAACTTCAGATTAAGTATAACTTTGGAATATTTAATGTATAGGGCTCCTTATTAACTGTAATTACTCTTTCATTTGGAAAGCTGATTATGGACTACTGTACGTGTACAGTAATAGAAGTACAGCACTACCAGCTTTTTAGGTTCTAAAGTATAATGTTTTAAAAAATCCATGAAGCTAATGATTTGATAGCTATTTTCACTGGTAACTTCTCATCACAGAGTTAATATAATAGTGAAGGAAATAGAATTCGTGGTCAATTCTGTTCATGCAACAGTGCATACAAGTCAATAAGAAACCTGCCTTTAATAATTCATGCATGTTTTTGATATACTGTGGATTCATTATTATTCGTTGGATACTAATTTTCGTGGATTTCATGGTTACCCAAGAACCACAAATTATAAATTTTCGAAAGGAATTATGCAGACTTTGGAAAAAACACGAAATCAAATATCCAAGAAAATGCAAGTTTTCCTGAATCCACGAAAATTGGTACCCACGAAAATAAATGAATCCACAGTAAAATATATGCATGAATGCATCCAAATTAAAAAAGAGTTTTTCCTCAGCGCTAATTTTCAGGATCCATTTTGGATTTTAAAATCCAATCTAAATTATTAACATGATCTTTTTGAGTACAATGTGATCCCGAAAGCACTAAACCTTGATGCAATGAATTTTTATCCTGACTCTATCACAAAAAGATATTTTATGCACCCGCCGTGGTTTCCGTTCTCTAACTTTAGTTTGCCTCAACCAAATGTTATGAATCTAATATACAATGCTTATTACCATAAAACACAGATCAAGTTTGAATTTTGGTGGGGTTACTTTTACAGTTCTAGAGTTATGCCCTTTACAAATGGAAAAATTGCTGAATTTTTATACGCCTGTTTACGGGACGTATTATGGTATACCTCTGTCCGTCTGTCTGTCCGTCCGTCGTCAACATGTCAGACATTAACTCAAAAACGTTTTATCCAATATGCATGAAACTTTGGTGAATTGTTTATATCTATTGACGTGAGCTCCCTTTTGTTTTTTATAAATTTCGGATTTACCGTTTCCGAGTTTTGGGGTTTTATTCATTAAAAAGGGGGGAATTTTCCAGTTTGTGGACAATAACTCAAAAACAATTTCACCAATTTGCAAGAAACTTTGGTGAATTGTTTATTTCTATCGACATGAGCTCCCTTTTGATTTTTATAAATTTTAGACCATACGTTTCCGATTTATGGGGTTTTATTCATTACAAAAAGAGGGATTTTCCAGTTTTCAGACAATAACTCAAAAATGCTTTCAGCATTTTTTATGAAACTTTGGTGAATTGTTTATATCTACTCAGTATTGATGTAAGTTCCCTTTAGAATATTATAGATTTTAGATTTTACATTTCTGAGTTGTGGGGTTTTATTTATTAATTAGGGGGGATTTTCCAGTTTTTGACAATAACTCAAAAACAATTTCACCAATTTGCAAGAAACTTTGGTGAATTGTTTATTTCTATCGACATGAGCTCCCTTTTGATTTTTTTAAATTTTAGACTATACGTTTCTTATTTATGGGGTTTTATTCATTACAAAAAGGGGGATTTTCCAGTTTTCGGACAATAACTCTAAAATGCTTTCAGCATTTTTTATGAAACTTTGGTAAATTGTTTATATGTATTGTTGTACGCTCCCTTTTGATTTTTATAAATTAAAGATTTTACGTTTTTAAATTTAATGCTGCGTTCACACGTAATTCGAATTCGATTCGCATTAACTAATTCGAATTAGTTTAATTCGCATTCGAATCGTTTTACGTCCAAACGTTAATTCTAATTCAAATTGCAATACGCGTCAAATTTGCTTTACTGTCCGAATGACGTTAACTTTTAATTCGTATCAACAAAAACGGATTTCTAATGCGAATTGGTTAATGCGAATTAGCCAATTCGAATCAATTCGAATTAAAAAGGAAGAGTGTGTGAACGCGATTAGCGAATTCGATTCGCATTCGATTCGAATTCAATTCGAATTAAATGTACGTGTGAACTAGGCATTAAATTAAAAATTTTTTTTTGGTTGTATATTGGTATCACGTTGTCGTCATCGTCAGCGTTGTCCAAAGACAGATGGTTTCTGGATAATAACTTTAGTATAAGTAAATAGAAATCAATAAAATTTTAACACAAGGTTTATAATCACTAAAGGAAGGTTGGGATTGATTTTGGGGGTTATTGTCCCAACTGTTTAGGAATTAGGGGCCAAAAAGGGGCCCAAATAAGCATTTTTGTAGTTTCCAGACAATAACTTGTGTTAAAGTGTATGAATCTCTCTGAAATTATACCACAAGTTTCCATACTACAAAAGGATGGTAAGGATTGACTTTGGGGGGTTATGGCTCAAACCAATTAGTAATTAGATGCAAAAAAAGGGGAAAAACAAGGGTTTTTCTGGTTAAAGGACAATTGAGACAATTTAAAAGCAGTGTAAAGGAGGTAATCCAAATCAATTAAAAGAACACTGTTTGATTACCTCCCTTACACTGCTTGTAAATTATGTATTAAGAAATGATGATTGTCTTGAGGTGATTAGCTGTCAATTTATTTTTAGCGGTTACTATTAATTAATATTAATTTTAGCCATGACTATGTATGTCATTTTATATTTTAAAACTTTTATGATGTATTTAAATGGGTAATTATGGTTGCAAACTCCATTAGAAATTTGAATTGAGATACTGACCATATTTTGAGGGAAAGATTTTTTTTTGGGAATAAGGGAAAGTGGGGAGGTGAAAAAAATTGGAGGGGGAGGGACAATTTTTCTCATTTCAGATTTCAGAAATTCAAAGAAAATTTCTTCAAATATTTTTTTTTGGGGGTTAATATTCAACAGCATAGTGTATTGCACAAAAGCCAAAAACCGGGTTAAAATTATTTTTTTTGGGGGGGGGGGGTCAATTCGCAACAGTATAGTGTATTGCACAAAAGCAAAAAAAATTGAATATAAATTCAAATCATATAACCAATTTGAAGTTCTTTGAATACAGTTATTCTGTGTCAGAAACCTATTATTTATGTGTCAAAAATTTAGTTACAATCCAAATTCAGACCTGTATCAAGCGTGAATATTGTGTCCATTTTGGCCCCAACTTTTCAGGGTTGGACATCTGCGGTCGTATCCAGCTGAGCTCAGCAAAGCAATTTATTGAGTTATAAGATTATATTCATAAAAAAAGGGTTGATTTTCAAGTTTTTGGACAATATCCTTAAAGTGCTTAGAGCAGTTTTCATTAAACTTTGATGACTGATTTATATCTATTAAGATAACCTCCCTTTAGTTTTTTATAAATTTCTGATATAACATTGAGAAGTTATTGTTTGTTTATAGTCTGACAACAGATTTACTAAGTATTGGGCAACAGCACAGTGTATTGCACAACATCAAGAAATCTTTAATTGAATATAAATTCAATTCATATAACCAATTTCAAGTGTTTTTACTACATTTATTCAGAAACCTATAATATGTCAAATATTTAATTACAATCCAAATTCAGACTTAAATCAAGCTTGAATATTGTGTCCATTTTTGCCCCAACTGTTCAGGGTTGGACCTCTGCAGACGTATCCAGCTGCGCTCAGCGAAGCAGTTTATTCATTTCCGTTCTCTTTCTTTAGTTTGCCTCAACCAAATGTTATGAAACTTATAAACAATGCTTATTCCCACATAACACAGATCAAGTTTGAATTTTGGTGGCGTTACATTTACCTTTCTAGAATTATGCCCCTTTACAAATGGCAAAATAGCTGAATTTTTCGTTTCCGTTCTCTAACTTAAGTTTGCCTCAACCAAATGTTATGAAACTTATACACAATGCTTATTACCACAAAACTCAGATCAAGTGCAAATTTGGGTAGCGTAACTTTTACTGTTCTTGAGTTATGTCCCTTTATAACGTTGTATGCAAGTTGGGGCATCATCTGTGTCCCATGGATACATTTCCCATTTATTTTATAATAAAATTATATTTACCCTTGGCACAAATTTAAGCAAAAAGATGATACATGTATGATATAAATATTTGCTGTATGTCAGGATGCTTATAGTAATTTCTGTGGAAAACATTGAGTAATGTGTAGACAAAAGAAGAGGAGATACATGTATATAGCAAATGATACCAGGGAACATGGACTTTATAAAGACTTGACCAAACTCATTAGAATAAGAATAAGTATTGTACAATATATATCAGGATGTTTCTGTTAACCTTCCAAAAGTCAGGAATCTCCATAATGATTAGCCCGACATATATATCTCTTGAGCTATTTATTTAGGAAATTAGAGTTTGTGTCCAATATTCAGTCATCTCTGTGAAGATTATTTATAACTTGTTTAGAATCAATCTGAGCAATGGCAGAGTAATCCTTGTGTGGGTTTTTGTCCGTCACTGATGGCCAAGTGTTGACCTTTAAAAGTCTCTTTAGGTAAACTTGTGTTTTGGGGATTATTGTCTCATTGACCCTAACCTCACATCACCTTTAATTCATATATATATATTGGAAAGATTTGTTTTCCATTTTCTCTCCTGATATTACAGAATAAGATATAAAGATGTTATGACTCAGAACTGCAGTACATAAAGGGTAATTAGATCGACACTATATCATAATATTATCAAATTATTACATTAGGTTTCTCCTTGTTTTCTTTGTGTTAAAGCCAGGGTTCATTTGTATGTTGCAGTAAATTGTTGATAAAGAAGTTTATTAATTGTCTGCCAAAAGATATTCGCACAGGAATGTGCACTTCAAAGAACATAAAATTTTTACACATTTCTAGTTTTTATTTAACTTTTCGTGTACATACTAGTTTGACTAGCATTCAATTCTATATTCAACTGTCAATTATCACTTCAAGTCTTTTTATAAATTTACCGAATGATAAACTTTATAATAAATGTTAGAAAAATTTGATACAACTTTTTTCAAACTTTTTTAAGCTTCTGTGTTAAGACAGCATTAATTTTGTTTCAAACAGAAATATCTAAATGCTGTCTACTTTGCACAGGTTTCAAGATCTATTCTGCAATTTTTGTTTGTCATATGCACATGTATGCGTTCTTTCAAAACACATCTACTTTACTGTTCATTCAAGAAAATGGCAGAAAATATGAATTTGCCATAATAAAGAGTCTGAGTATAGAGTAAATTGAAAAAAATAAAACAATGTTGAACAGGTTCAGTCTTTCTTCAGTATTTTAAATGTTTGGAGCCCTTAGCTTTGAACCTGTGTCAACAACCAGTTAAAGGAGTACTCAATCCCAGCAATTATACTTAAATACATTGAACATTAATTATTTGGGTATTGATTATGACACACTGTTCATTCATAACAGTTTACCTTTCACTGTTGCTTAAGATGATACCTTAAATATAAAGTGTTGTAAACTATTTATTGTTTGTCACATTGAATTAGTTATTTTTAAACGTGATTGAAATATTCTAATGTGAATCAACAGAGTATGATCAAATAAAAACTTGTCTACATTGGAGTTCAGTAGCCAGTACATGTTTTACAAACGTTGCTAGATGAATCATTTAAATGTATGACTTACTTGTACATGGTTTATGTATGTATATATATATATATAAGTGTAAAGATTTAAAAACACTAAAACATCTTTTTAAAAGACCTCCATGTAGGTGCAAGAAATATACTGGTGGTTCTTTTTTTACAAATTTGCTGTACTGTGCTTGTTATAAGGAAATGGTGTACATTGTACAAATTAACAGACTCATGCTAACAAGACTAAAGGTTCATGATGTCCAAAAATTCAAGTCAAAAGATACTTTTTTTGTTGTTAAAAATTCCACATGAGAGATTTTATGTTCTGCTGCTCTCATCATTAAAGTTATCTCAATTTATACTGAGATGTTCAACCCTATGAGTTAATTTTAAGATAGAAGTGATAGTTTAAGCTTTAGCTAATTTTGTTTGCTTGACTCGCCCAAATTTATGCTGAGGTGTTCATCTCTATGTGTTAATTTTGAAATAGAAGTTCTAGTTTAAGCTTTAGCTAATTTTGTTTGCTTGACTCACCCAAATTTTTACCAGTGTTATATTTATTATTATTTTTTGTTGAAAGGGGGTCCCTACCTGCATATGATCTGCAACTGTTCATTGTTACAGAGTAAATAATGTGGAAGCTCTTTTATTTTATTTCTAGAAAATGCAAACGTGATAGTTTAATTGATCCAAAGATGAAATGACTCTAAAGATTTAGAGAGAAATGGACAAACATAGGTTGTTACAGCAGTTTGTGGACAGGGTCAACTGTAATCCTGATGTGGCTCATGATATCCTCACAAGTAAGTTTGATTAGGTATATAAAGACTTTCAAGTTCTCTGGGCCAAGCATTTTCAACTTGTTTTGTGCAATTAAAAATAAAATGTTAAATCAGAAGAGTTTGTGTGTTCCCCTTATTACTGCATCAGTGAGATGGTTTGATAAACTTAAATGTTCATGAAATTTTTTAGGGTACAATAATAATAATAATGAAACAATGTTGAATTAAACAATCATATCATCCATCGTAATGCTGCAGCACCACAGGAATGCATCAAACAAGACTTCATACAGTCTGTTACTGTTCAGAATCAATCTGTGTACATTTCTGTGTTCTCCCTGCTTATTTCAAATAGCTTCCTGACTGTGTCATAGAAATTTTTTTAAGTAGCATCTTGTTGTTGAAAATGTGAAAATTAAAGTTAAGGGTTAACCAAACTCTTTACAAAAAAAATTTTCAGAGAAGTTTATTATCGAGAGGACAAAGGTTAAAAATCAGAGTACATGTATCATGCATTGAACTTTACGGAAAAAACACTGCATTTTGTGCATAAGAAGTCTCCTTCAGAATATTACCAAATGAAATGTGTAAATAATTCTCTGCAAAAACATGAAAAAATCTTGGGTTCAGTCTGTTGAAAATCTAATAACATACTTTGATTCACCAATTAATTACAGTTAATGTCAAAATTTGATGAAAGTTTGGAATTTATACTGCTTTAAAATGATTAACTCTATAGGACTGTATTCTATTTTATAAAGTTAATGAGTTGCTATAATAGGCATATAGAATTTTGTATTGTAATCAGCAGTCCCACATTGTACTTGAACATGGATTTTATGTCGTAAGAAAATATTCAGATATTTAGTTTCGTATAATGCATTTTTACTACTCTGGTCTGAAGTTTGAATCCAATATTGCATGTATCTGAGGAATTAAATTTCTGCTTTTATCACCAAACATGGAAAATAGATCTTGCTTAATTTTGCTATAACAGTGTAGAGTAAAAATTGTATGGGGATCGTCCAACTAATGGTGTTTCATGACGAAAACATCACTTGTGGGTAACAACTACCATTAATTAAAGATAGAATAGAAAAAGTAAAGCTATCTGTCCCAAGTGAATAACATCTAATGCCTATATTGTGTGAAATCCAAGTTTATCTTGGTAGAATTATTGTCTCATAAATATAATCAATACTATGATTGGTTGAAGACCAATTATGTCCCCTTTTTAATACTGAGTTGGTATCATTACCAGGGATCTATAGGGAGACTGGGAGAGATAGTATACAGTTTTTTGTATTTTACATGAACTTTGTTATTATGTTTTAATATCTTTACATGTTATGATATTGATCAAGGTTAGTGGGATCCACTGTCACTCAGTTTCAATACATTTGTACTTTAGTCAAGAATTGCATAACTGCATAATGTAGGATACAATTTTACAGGTGGTTCTGTTATACAAAATTTTCAAAATGCAATAATATCAAAGCAGCAAAGAAGCTGAAAATAAAAAGAAATGTGTAAAATAGTTATTGTTAACAGTGTGGTAGCATGTAGTGAAGATGGAGATTTTGTTTACAGAAAATCCACAGGTTTTATTACAGAGATTTAAACATAGATTACTCACTTGTTTGACCATGTAATGCAACAGTAACTGTTAATTGTTTATAAAAAGTTCAACCTTTACTATCCGAAAACCTCTTTGCTGAGTCACTAAAGTAAAGTAGAGCGCACCTTAAAAGGTGTACTGGAATAGATCCATATTTGTGCTTGTTTTGAACTAATATCTATATTAAAAAACTTGTTTTAAGGGCAATCATTGGTAGCAGTGCATGTAGTAACCCTCTATTGATTAAGGAAATATAAAAAGGCTGTGGATTTTCTATAAAATTCCAATATGTTTGCATTTAAAAAACAAAAGTGTTCATAATCCTTAAGTAACTACATTTTAATCCAAAATTTATGGGAAAATACTAAATATCTCGATTTAAGGGAAGGGATCATTAAAACTTTTAAATATATGTACTGTTGGCAGTTAATCGACATATTCCAGATTGACATAACCAGATTTTTATGCCCCACCTAAGGGCTTTATGTTTTTGGGTCTGTGCATCCGTTCGTTTGTCCGTCCGTTCGCCCGTCTGTCCCGCTTCAGGTTAAAGTTTTTGGTCAAGGTAGTTTTTGATGATGTTGAAGTCCAATCAACTTGAAACTTAGTACACCACATGTTCCCTATGATATGATCTTTCTAACTTTTATCACATATTAAGAGTTTTGACCCCAATTTCACGGTCCACTGAGCATAGAAAATGATAGTGCAAGTGGGGCATTCGTTTACTATGGACACATTCTTGTTCTCTTTGTCTTTCGTTCTCTGATAGGAAGATTGAATGTTATCTTTAGTTTGACAGGATATCATTTTTATGCCCCACCTAGGGGCGTTATGTTTTACGGTCTGTGCTTCTGTTCGTCTGTCCGTCCGTCAATTCGTCCATTTGTCCCACTTCAGGTTAAAGTTTTTGGTCAAGGTAGTTTTTGATGAAGGTGAAGTCCAGTCAACTTGAAACTTAGAACACATGTTCCCTATGATATGATCTTTCTAATTTTAATGCCAAATTAGAGTAAACTCCAATGAACATAGAAAATGATAGTGTGAGTGGGGCATCCGTGTACTATGGACACATTCTTGTTAGTGCCTCTTTTAATCAATACCAGACAATAGAATCTTGTTTGATCTTTAATTAGACAATAAAGATTCCAATTGTATTTTTAAATTCAGTGTATTCAATTAAAGAAGAGAATCCTAAAAGAATCAGAATTAATGTAAAAAAAAATTTCATTAAATTTTTAGCTCACCTGGCCCAAAGGGCCAAGTGAGGTTTTCTCATCACTTGACGTCTGTCGTCGTCGTCCGTTTTTCGTCGTCGTTAAATTTTTGAACTTCTTCCAGAGAACCACTGAATGAAATGAAAACAAACATGGAATGAATGTTTCTTATGATGTGCTGACCAAGTGTTAATACTTTGAAGCCGATCCATCATCCAAGATGGCCGCCAGCGGGGGACTTCGTTTAGCATAGAACCCTATGGACAATACATACAAATGTCTTCTTTTAGAGAAGCACTGAATGGATTGAAACCAAACATGGCATGAATGTTTCTTTTGAGGTGCTTACCAAGTGTTGTTACTTTGAAGCAGATCCATCATCCAAGATGGCTGCCAGCAGGGGGCTTCGTTTAGCATAGGACCCTATGGACAATACATACACATGTCTTCTTTAAGAGAACCATTGAATGGATTGAAACTAAACATGGCATGAATGTTCCTTATGTGGTGCTGACCAAGTGTTGTTACTTTGAAGCCGATCTATCATCCAAGATGGCCGCCAGAGAGGGACTTGATTTAACATAGGACCCTATGGGAAATGCATACAAATGTCTTCTTTTAGAGAACCACTGAATGGAATGAAATAATACATGGCATGAATGTTTCTTATGAGGTGTTGACCAAGTGTTGTAACTTTGTAGGCGATCCATCATCCAAGATGGCCGCCAGCGGGGGACTTCCTATAACATAGGACCCTATGGACAATACATACAAATGTCTTCTTTTAGAGAACCTTTGAATGGAATGAAACCAAACATTGCATGGATGTTCCTTATGAGGTGCTGACCAAGTGTTGTTACTTTGAAGCAGATCCATCATCCAAGATGGCTGCCAGAGAGGGACTTAGTTTAACATACTACCCTATGGGAAATACATACAAATGTCTTCTTTTAGAGAACCACTAAATGGAATGAAATAAAACATGGCATGAATGTTCCTTATGAGGTGCTGACCAAGTGTTGTAACTTTGTAGGCGATCAATCATCCAAGATGGCCGCCAGCAGGGAATTAGTTTAACATAGGACCCTAAGGGAAATACATACAAATGTTTTCTTTTAGAGAACCACTGAATGGAATGAAACCAAACATGCATGAATGTTCCTAATGAGGTGCTGGCCATGTGTTGTTACTTGATAGCCAATCAATCATCCAAGATGGCTGCCAGCGGGAAACTTAGTTTAACAAAGGATTCTATGTGAAATACATGCAAAAGTCTTCTTTTGAAGAACCACTGAATGGAATGAAACCAAACATGGCATGAATGTTCCTTTTGAGGTGCTGACCAAGTGTTATTACTTTATAGCAGATCCATCAACTAGATGGCTGCCAACGGGGAACTTAGTTTAACAAAGGACCCTATGGGAAATATATACAAATGTCTTCTTCTAGAAAACCGCTTGATGGATTGAAACCAAACATGGTATGAATGTTTCTTTTGAGGTGCTGACCAAGTGTTGTTACTTTGTAGCTGATTTGTCATTGTCCTCACAATGCCATTTTCTACAGTTTCAATGAATTTATTGGTTATGTAATTTCTGTAAACTTTACAAAAGTCTTCTGCTTTTGATTAAATTACGGGGCCAATATTAAACCAATTTTGGCCTCAATCATTATTAGGGTATCTGTTATGATTTTAATCTATTTTTACATGATTTCCAAAACCAAAATAGAATCAGGTGAGCGACACAGGCTCATGGGAGCCTCTAGTTTATACGACCTCAAAAAAATTTTTGCGGTCGTATATTGGTATCATGTTGTCGTTGTCGTCAGCGTTGTCTGAAGACAATTGGTTTCGGTTTCCGGTCAATAACTTTAATTTAAGGGAATGGATCTCTATGAAATTTTACCAAAAGGTTCAATACCACAAAAGGAAGGTTGGGATTGTTTTTGGGGGTGATGGTCCCAACCGTTAAGGAATAAGGGGCCAAAAAGGGTCTAAAACAAGCATTTTTCTAGTTTCAGGACAATAACTTGTGTATAAGTATTTTGATTGCTCTGAAATTGTACCATAAGGTTCAATATCACAAGAAGAAGGATGAGATTCATTCTGGGGGTAATTGCCCAAACTGTTCAGGAATTAGTGGCCAAAAAGGGTCTAAAACAAGCATTTTTCTAGTTTTCAGACAATATCTTGTGTTTAATTAGTGTATGGGTGTCTCTAAATTTTTACCACATTTTACAAAAAGAAAATTTCTTCAAAATTAATTATTTTGGAAGGGGGAGGGGGGGGGGGGGGGGATTTATTTTGCTAATTCTTTGCATATAGTCTGAAAACAGATTTACTAAGTATTGTGCAACAGCACAGTGTATTGCACAACAGCAAGAAATCTTCAATTGAATATAAATTCAAATCATACAACCAATATCAAGTTCTTTGACTACATTTATTCTGTGTCAGAAACCTATAATGTGTCAAATATTTAATTACAATCCAAATTCAGACCTCTGTATCAAGCTTGAATATTGTGTACATTATAATAGATAAATAGACACTTTTAATCACAAAAATGATCAGCAAGGCAAGATCTACTAACAAGTCAAAAATATACTTAGTAGACTGTCACTCTTTATAGGAGTGATTGCCCTTAAATGAGGATTTTTTTTTACCTCTTTTGTCTTTTGAGCAAAACCTAAATAAGATAGAGAGTTTTTAACAGACTAAATGATCATCTATACAAGATCAACATAACAGAGATTTTTGTCATGAATTCTATTCTCGTCTACAATGTTGGAGAGTGTCCTTTGTTGAATATGCACATAGAACAAGGTGAGGGACACAGGCTCTTTAGAGCTCTAGTTTTAAATATCATTTGTTGAATCATAATCACTTAGTAGTTATATTGAAAACCTCTCCTGCTTGAAAGTTGATGAAGTCATCCTTATTAATCAAACTATATATTGGGAATGCAGACAAGTTTTCCCTGTGCATGCATTTTTTGTTCAAGTTTTTATTAAAAAGCATAATTATAGATAAGCAGTGAAATTGGTGTTTTTAAAGGAGTTCATTCTTACCACAAATATTCCTTTAGTAAAAGGATTTAATTACCACAATACAATTAAAACAATTTGACAGAAGTAAAATAAAAAATATAGCAACATAAAAGAAAGCTTAACAAACTGTTTATTTAAAATTAGAACTTAAAAATTTGCTGTGATCATGCACACTTAACTTACTGTTAGAATTTGATTTAAAACATTTGCTAAATCATCAATAATTAAAAATGCAAGGTTAAAGAACTATAATAGGGTATTGATGCACACTACTACTAATAAAACTGTGCTACTAAGTTCAACATTCCAAGCCCCTCCCTTTTCAACATTTATGCCTCACATATAGTATCAACTAGTTGAATTGGTAATTTTTTTTTTAATCCTGTAAGTCTGTCTTACACTAACCTAATTTAGTATTAGGTTAGTGTATTAATTCTTCCATGACCCTTTTTTCCCAGCTTTAGGTTGGCCCTTTGTCTATTCAAGGCAGGTGAAGGATTAGTCAACTTTGGAGTGCTGTGATTGGATGTATTAAAGGGTATACTATATTTTTTATTTTTTTTATGAATAACTGCAGTGTGCATATTTACATATATAAATTTTGAAACACATTGAAATTTTTTCCTCAGAATTCCAAATTGTCATAAATTTGATGTAAAATGGCCATGGATACTATAAAAAAAACTCCGTTCGAAGATGGTCATGCACCAATTGCCTTCACTTTCTAAAACAGAATAATAAAGTATGCTATAGTATCACACATATCTGTTTTGTCCAAGTTTTTGAGTGATTAATTTAGAAAATGTTAGTACTGTTGCCTAAGGAGGAAAAAATCAGGTTGATTACGTATGGGATAATTCCATATTTGTATTAATTCTTTGGCATGTGGAGAACTAGTGGACTATGCTTTCCATTTTGAGCCTCTTTCTGTAGACAGAGCTACATTTTGTAATTGGAATATATTGAAGGATATTGGAGAAATTATACCAAGAATGTTGTTTACATTCTGACAGTTCTATCATGGAATCTCAATGATAATAACTTTTACAATAGGTCACCAGGAGCTCAATAAAAACTCATTCACATTTGTGATTTATCATCCAGGTCAAGGATTAGAAGTGCAGAGAGTATATGCTCTAGTTTTTCAGTTCAGTTATTTAAAAGCCATCTGTCATACAGAGTTTAAGCTAGCTAGTATTACCATGTGATTAAATGAGCTTTTTGAGGTTGCTTTCAGTAATTGGTAGCTATCTTTGATATGGTATTAATAAGTACTTTTACCTGTGGTTTTGCCATCTATAATACTCATATTATAGAGTTAAGTGATTTTTTTTAATTGATATTTTTTCTGTTCATTCTTCTATGTTCCTTTTGTTATTCTGCTGATTGTGATAAAAAGAGTAATAAGCAGGTGGTGTTTTGTATACTGTATATATATGTTTTAAGGTTCCATGATTGATACAAATACTTATTAATACATATGTACTTTTTCTATAATGTACAAGCTCATTCCATTTAATTATTCAAATAGGGTTTTTACTTGAATAATTGAAAATAAAAGTTTATTACAACATACTAGTAAACATATGTAAATTAAATGCTATACCAAGAAACAGGTACATTTCCAACTTATTTTATTTTGTCAGAGGGGTCTTTTTTTAGAAATTGTTCAAGAATATAGTTATAATTAATATTTTGACTAAGATGAGTATGAACATAATTATGTTACATATCTTCATATTTAATCAGAACTAATATAGTAATTTTAGCCTGAATACAAAATAAATGTTTGACTTTTAACCCAATATAAGTATATTTTTCAAATAAATTTCTCTTTTGAAAATATCAAAATTTTACAACAATGAAAGTTAAAAACAAAAATAAAGGAAATGACACTAGTAAGTTTGTATTGTTTGTGTTAAAAGTTTTTTCGTGGAAAGAGTTATATGAATCATCAAGAACAACTGTATAAAGTACATCAGCTGTTGTTGTTCATTAATCAGTCATATGGATACAGGCTATGTATAAAGATTGGGTGGGTTTACCTTTTATAATTAATATTTGTCATATCATAATTATAAGTGAATGTAGGTTGTATAAATGTTTATCAAAAGATTTGTTGGTAATTGATATATTTATATAAATGGTATTTTTACTTGTCATCACCAAAAGGACAAATATTTATTTGCCAATGGATATTTTTTTTCAAATATGTGTACAAATTCCTAAAAAAGTACATGGCCATTTTAGACTAAAAGTAGTTCAGGTTAAGACATAATATAGATATTTTTGATCATGAGTTCTCCATCTTCGTTAACCTCAACATTGTCCATCTGCCACGACTTTTTATTTCACATTTTTTCAATTTAAAAAAAAGGGGGGGGGGGTGTTTTTCTTATTTGCTAATAGATCAAATCTATACCACAAAAGGTTAAAATTGAAATGAAAACAAAATTGCACACCTAATTCAAATTGAAAAAAATGATCAGAATAAGAATATAGGATTCCTGTGATAACTATAGCAACCATAAGTAAAATAAATGATATCATAGGATATTTAAGTTTGGTCATATTTCTAAACAGTGATACAGTAATTTATGGAAGACTGACAGCGTGCATTGTAAAAACTTTTTGAAGTCAAATGAAATATTGAGGGTTTTTTTTCATAATACCTCAAAACTCAAGTAAATGATATGTAGGCTGTGAAAAAATTTTCAGTGTAAAAGTACATATAAAAAGAAAGAGTTGTGTCTAGATCGGCAGGCAATAAATAGATTATGGAAAATTGTATATAACAAATTGGTTTGTAATTTATATTTCAGAAGCAGACTGGGATCAAAATCAAGCCATTAGATTGTTTGATGAACTTGTCCGAGTTGGTAGAATCCGACCATACTATCCACCTACTCCTTCTAACAGCCAGCTTAGGCCAACACTTCGACCCATTCCTGTAGAACATGTCAGGACGGGAATAGGTCATGCAACAGCTAAATCTGGCCACATACAAGCACCAGCAACTGTAAGACCAAGTAATATGGAAAAACCAGCAGTAGGAGCCTGGTCTAGTCAAGGTCCAGCAGGTAGACCACTGAGTCAACCAATAAAAGTTAATTCAGGTATACTTGTAGTTGGATTTTCTGGTATGCTTTTTATGCCCTGACTATGGTGTTAGGCATTATGTCTGTGTGTTCATCTGTCAGATGTATCAGGTTTTTGTATAAGGAAGTTTACCATGAAGTTTAACTCACAACAACTTGAAATGTTTTACACATATTAGTTATGATGTGATCTGTTTGAATTGTATGCATGCATGCCTAATAATGGGTTTGCCCCCTTTTTTTATTGTTCACTAATCATAGAAATGTGATAGTTTGCAATCAGTAAATTCTCTGGTTAAAGTTTTGGGTAAGGTAGTTTACCATGAAGTTGTGGTTACATCAACTTGAAACTTAAAACATGTTCATTATATTAAGTGAATTTTTAAAATTATATGCCATTAGGCATTACCAGTGTCTGAGCAGAAGCTTGATGATCCAGGGTTATGTCAAAGAACGTCTCATCCTTTTTCTAAAAAAGTTCATCAGAAGATACCAAAGACCTTGTTGATAAATATTCTGTATCAACTTCAAAAATAATACATGATGGTCTTAAAGTATAGATTCTAGGTACTGATGTTGTTTGAGTTTATCATCTTGATTACGTGTTATAGTGTTCTTTTATTGTCTTTGAAAATTATTTACCTTTACTGTTTAGTCCATTTTTGGTAATATTCTTTTGGCGTGGCTCGGTACACATCCCGCCATTGTGTTGTTGTGCTGTGGTCATTTTTTGTATTCTTGTCTTTCATTTTTACTTATGTTCTTTGTCTATATGCCATTTTGTTTTTCTTTGTTGACATATTTGTTTGTTTTTATAGTGATTAAGATTATAACACAATGTTGACTGCTGTACCCCTATTTTTGTCATTTTTACCTTTTATATCTGTTTGTTTTGTTCACACATTATTGTCAATATAATGGAATTTTATGCGACTGTCACACAAGTGAGAGGTTTAACTAGCTATAAAACCAGGTTTAATCCACCATTTTCTACATTAGGAAATGCCTGTACCAAGTCAGGAATATAACAGTTGTTTTCCATTTGTTTGATGTGTTTGAGCTTTTGATTTTGCCATTTGATAAGGGACTTTCCGATTTGAATTTTCCTTGGAGTTCGGTATTTTTGTTATTTTACTTTTTACAGATTTGACCCCCATTTCAAAGTTCACTGAGCATGAAAATGTAATAATATGAGGGATACATGCTGACCTAGGGACACAATGACTTGTTATAGATGTCTTCAATGGCAGTTTCCGGGGGTGTTCCGTGGGTTTAAACACCCTCTTTTTCCATTTTTTTTTTTAATTATGTGAACTTTTCATGGTGTTCTGGGAGTTGGAACCCCACCCCCTTTTCAAAATGGCTGGAGCTGCGTCTGGTCTTTGCACTGCAGAAGCACAAGTCTTTTTTACTCAAATAGCAGACAAAATTGTATTTGAAACAGATCTGAAATTTTTTTCTGATTACCAGAACTCTGAACAGTTTTAATCCTTTAACAGTTTCCAGAAAATTAGGCATTTGTTCTTAGCATATAGAGTAGCTATTTAAACTGGATGAATTTAGCTTTGGTGCTCTTAAATAGTAGAAGATGTCAGGTTTACATCAATGTCAGGTTATGGTTTACTTTTACAAATTGTGACTTGGATGGAGAGTTGTCTCATTGGCACTCATACCACATCTTCTTATATCTATTTACATCAATTTAACAACTCAACTACCATACACAAAAAGTCTAAAGACATCTAGATGTCAACATACTGTCTCCAACAGCAGTTAAATGTATAGGATACAACATGTCTAAATGGTTATTTTACACAATTTGACAGTTTAAGTCATTCATTGGGTGCTTATTCATGTTTTAATGCTTGCTTAAGAATTATCTAAAGTGCTTGTCTTAGTAGGATTTCGATATTTATATCCAGGTTATATAAATGCTTTGGAAAAACTGTACTTTTTCAAGTTTAAATTGGATACTGATTTAGAATGTATAAAAATTATCAAAGCAACATTTTTGTATTTTTCTCAAGTTGTTGAATAGAAACGATTGCTTAATCATAAATGCATTGTGGAACAAGTGTTTAGGGGCAACAGCCCATGAAAATGAAGCCTAATGTATCAGCATCCTTTGAATAAACAGGCCTATATGAATATAATGCCTATTATTTGCAACTCAGATCAATTGAAACATTAAATGCACACAATAAGCTGTAGAATTCTAGATCTGAAGTAAATGTTCAAGAACCATATGGCAAATGGGGGAATTAGGAAAGACATATAAACTTTAATATTCCTCAGTCTATAGGAACACTTATTCAACAGTGTAATTGTAAAACATGTGTCAGTAATTGAAAAATAATATATTTGATAGAAATCATATTTGGCATTAGAAAACAATGAATTGTTTATAATTTGAGCATCAATTGATCTGTAATTCATCTTTGTATAATTGATTTGATATTAAAAAATACTTTCGATGGAATGTAAACAAGATAATAGAAAAAAGATCTATTCATCATTGCTATGTCAAATGATCTATTAATTATTTTAAAAGATACTTTACAATTAATGGAATGATTTAACAAATAAAGATTGTAGGTGGTAGTCAAAGTTCTTTTTCTAATTCAGGGTTGTTTTTCAGTTCTGATGGCAAAAATTTTCATGATTTTAGAAAGTTGATCAGAAAATCAATTTCGAGTAGTTAATTATTTATTTAGGTAAACTGAGTAATTAATTGATGTAGCAATTCATGAATTGATAAAACTTTGGTAGATAGAGTTATCAAGGAAAATGGAAGAAATGTGATAAATTCTGATCAGTACAAAAAATAGGAAAGATAACTTCAGTTTCATAAAACCATACATGTATCCTGTTCTTTTCAAGCATTTGTTTTGGCAAAATGATTTAAACACTTTTTACAATAGATAAAATATGTTATCCATAAAGTGATAAAAACAGATAAAATATATTTGCTTATTGCATCTCGGGTAAACTATGGCGTTATGATTGGTTTAACGCTGTCACATGGTGACCCCTGGTGGATACGTAGGGGGTCAGTAGATTTCATGTGGGGTTGATGACGTCATGCTTACTATTAATGGTGACGTCATCGATTAATGTTTTTGTATTTCATTGCTTATTTTTATACATAACTTAGCAGGAACAGTCCTGTGTGCGATAAATTCGTTATACGGTTCACTACTGACCCCCTACGGTTCCATAGAGGGTTAGTTAAATCTATAGGAGATTCGGACTTCGGCCTCACCCCCTATGGATTTTACTAACCCTCTATGGATCCGTATGGGTTCAGTAGAAAACCATATAACTTATAATCTGTAATTTGTTATGCTTGTGCCACAAAATGTCCTTGAGCATATATCTATACATAGTGCATGGAATGATTGTACATGTAAGCTGTACAAGTCTGTCTGGCAGGTATCTTATGACCCTGACCTTGTTTTCATGGTAAATTAGTCAATGTTAATTTCAGTATTTTGGTCCTTTTGATGGATACCATAAAAAAGGTCAAATATAGTTTAGGAATGATTGTAAGTGTACATATCTGTTTGACAGGTATCATCTGACATTGACCTCATTTTCATGGTTTATTGGTCAATATTAAGGTTTTGTGGTAAGGTCTGATTCTATTAGCAATAGGTTAACTATTTTTTGGTTTATGGAAGGATTGAAAGTTGTACATGTCCATCTGGCAGGGTTAATCTGACCTTGACCGAATTTACATAATAAAAATGATAATGTTAAGTTTAGGTGATAGTTCTAGTAAAACCTTTATTTTATAGACTTTTAGCAAAAAATCAATATCGAACAGTAAAGAAGGCGAGTCATTTCAGTGTGTGCACCTATTTTATAGTTTTGCAGGATATTTTAAGATTTGGAAATAGAGCTATGAAGGAAGCTATCATTTGATTTTTAGGGGTTTCAGATATGTTGATCCACAGTTATTGGATTTTGATTGTCAAAAATTTATCATTGATTTGTTTTATTTACATTGCCTTTTTATGCCCCTGCGACAAAATGACGAGGGGCATATTAATTTACCCCTGTTGTCCGTCCGGATTAGGATACATTTTTGCCCAGCTATCTCCTCCTACAGTTTTGGAGGTACAACTTTAATATTTTGTAGAATGTTCATACACATAATGCATGGCCACAGGATTTTGATTTTTTTCAAATATTCTGAAAATGACAGGTAGTTGGACTTAGTCATTTTTTTGGTACAAGCTGCATAAAGAGATCATGGTTTGTCCGGCTATCTCCTCTTACAGTTTTGGAGATACAGCTTTAATATTTTTTAGGATGTTCAAACACATAATGGAGTTGTGCATGGCCACAGGATTTTGATTTTTTTTTTTAAATATTCCGAAAATGACAGGTAGTTGGACTTTCTTATTATTTTAGTACAAGCTGCATAAAGAGATCATAGTTTGTCCGGCTATCTCCTCCTACAGTTACATTATCATACATAGTGTTAAATTTATAATTTCCTATGGTCAGGCGGGGGCATCATTTGTGTCTTACAGACAGCGTAACAATTTCAAGTTGTATGCCAACATCACTGTTTTGTCAAATCTAAAATATGTGGAACTATACTCATGCATATGGCAGAGCAGAAAAGGGAGGGGGGTATTGTCCATATCTAGTTTGAATATAAATCACATCATACACTAAAGCATTAGTGCTCTCTAGCTGATTTTTTTCATCTTGACAATAGATTTAAGCAGCATTATAAATTCAGATGCGTCAGTCATTCTTTAAGATTGTGAAATTTATAACTATGCCAGTCTTTACATTTAACTGGATAAGACATTGTGTTTTCAAATGAAAAGTATTACTGTGGCTCTTTTCACAAAAAAATATTATGAGAAAAAAAAAAATTTTAAGACAAGAACATTTCAGTACAACTTAGATTTTTTGTGAACAATGCCACTGGTCTTTGCTTTTATTCTTAGATATATTAATCTCTAAATTTTTAATATAATTGTAATGTTTTAGGTAATGATAACAAAACAGTAGCTCCACGTCCTGCAAGTGAAATTTTGTCTAAACCAGCTCCTTCTAAGCCTGAACATAATGCCATCGGACAGAATGTTTCACTAATTAATATCAGTGCCAACAGAATTAGTACTGGTAGTACAGATTCCGTCTTTTTACCAGCAACTCCTGCCAAGGGAAATAACTCTAGTCTGCAAGTACAGAAAAACAGTATGCCAATGAAATCACCTCCAGCTTGTAAGTTACATGTTAAAAAGATTTTTTTTTAATACAAACTTTTTTTTATCACAAATGGCTTATTTAAGATGTACTTATCAAATCAAAGTTTTTAACTGAAATTGCTGAAGACTCAAATTGCCACTAACCATTTTTACAACAAGGGTTATTATTATACAATGAGTATACTAAATCATGTAAATGTAGACTGTCAACATAATATGATAGATTCTTTTTGTATTATAAATGTTGACATGATGTTTCAATCAAATTAATAAAAAAAAATTCTAAGGTTGACAAATAGAGCCAAAGTTTTCTGATGCATCTATTTTACTCTTCCTCCTCTTCCTTATTTCATTGCCTGATATGGTATGAATTCCTTAGATATAAAAAAGTTTTATTTATTTGTTTTTGTTGACTATTCTGTTTAAGTTATAATACCAATGAACAGGATTTTAGATGATAGGAAATAACAAAAATACTTAACTCTGAGGTAATAATGAAAATCTGTATATTCATATATACACTGACAAGTTTTGGCTTAACGGTCATCAGATAGACAAATGATGATAGTTCTTTCTTGGCACAGTCACATTTTACCTTGAACAAGACCTTTATTTGGATACAATGAGTTTCTTGATTTTAATAAATTATGCACTGGAATTATTCCTACTTCTAAAATGTCATCTTTTGAACTTATAAGAAATGTATAGAATAATCTCGTTTGAAATAGAATTCTATGATATTTTTGTAGCACCCAAAATTTTGAAGAGAGGTATATCAAAGATTATGGAAAATGAGACACTTGTTAAGCAGACACAAACCAAGCTTCTCCATGACATTGAAGAAGATAGTAAGGATCACTTGTACACACAAACGTTTATGTTACCAGATCTAACAGTGTACACTGCTGACTTCAGGGCATTCCTTGAGAAAGAGTTGATAGAGACTTCCACCCTGGTGTCTTTAGAACAAGCAGGTATATAGTAATAACAAGAGAGTTAAGGCGATATGTATATCGGTGAAACCACTGACCATAATATAGAATGTTTTTTTCAAAATAGAACTGAATCTTATATTAATTGACTATACAGGTAAAAGAGAATAAAAAGTGAATAATTTCAGATGCAAATCTACTAGTGCCTACATTTAGATCAAATGTATATACAGGCAAACCCTCATTGTTTTGAAAACTCTGATTTGTCAATGTATTTTGTCAGTCCTGGTAAAATTCTTGTTGGTTCAATGTATTTTTAAATCTTAGGGGTAAATGAAAATAACACTTAATAATAGTTGTGCTTCCAAAGCACTTTTCTTGATTTATCTTCAACAGGAACTCTCAAACTCAGGTGTTTCACAATTTGTTTACTTCCATTATTTATATTGACTTTTCTTTGTAAAAATAAGATGAGTTCTATTTTCTCTGTCGCTTTTTTTATACGCCCGTTTACCGTTTTCGAGTTATGGGGTTTTATTCATTAAAAAAGGGGGATTTTCCATTTTTCGGACAATAACTCAAAAAAAAATTTCACCAATTTGCAAGAAACTTTTGTGAATTGTTCATATCTATTGACATGAGCTCCCTTTCGTTTTTAATAAATTTTGGATTTACCGTTTCAGAGTTTTGGGGTTTTATTCATTAAAAAAGGGGGGATTTTTAAGTTTTCAGACAATAACTCAAAAAAAATTTCACCAATTTGCAAGAAACTTAAGTGAATTGTTTATTTTTATCGACATGAGCTCCCTTTGGATTTTTTTAAATTTCAGACTATATGTTTCCAATTTATGGGGTTTTATTCATTACAAAAAGGAGGATTTTCCAGTTTTCGGACAATAACTCAAAAATGCTTTCAGCATTTTTTATGAAACTTTGGTAAATTGTTTATATCTATTTTTGTAAGCTCACTTTAGATTTTTATAAATTTTCAATTTTATGTTTCCGAGTTATAAGATTTTATTTGTTTATAGTCTGACAACAGATTTACTAAGTATTACGCTACAGCACAGTGTATTGCACAACAGCAAGAAATCTTTCATATAACCAATTTCAAGTTCTTTGACTACATTTATTCAGAAACCTATAATATATCAAATATTTAATTGCAATCCAAATTCAGACCTGTATCAAGCTTGAATATTGTGTCCATTTTTGCCCCAACTGTTCAGGGTTGGACCTCTGCGGGCGTATCCAGCTGCGCTCAGCGAAGCAGTTTATTATTAAATAAATTTCATTTTTAAAGTATTGTTGCATATAGATTTGAATATATGAAAGATGTTTGGAATATAAAAAACACCAGGTTGAAAACACAAGTTACAATATTAGGAAATTATAATGTAACTAACGTCCTGTGGTTGACTAGAATTTCAGATAAGTCAAATAGTTATGTCATGTTTCCTTAACTTCGACATAACAAGGTTTGACTGAATAATGTACATTTAAAAACTTTCAAGAAAAAAGAACTATACAAAAGCATGCAAACTAAGGCTATACTAAATGTTCGCTATTCTTATGTATAATGGTAAATTGATCTAAATATTAAGTTTTTATGTATTTTATTTGTTTTCAGAACAAACCATTATGGTATATAAATCTTGTACTCTGACAATAATATTCAGACCAACAATAACTCAAATTATGTGCAAACGGTCAAAGATTTAAAATATGTTCGGTCAACCATAGACAAGATAATTTAGATATATAATAACTATATGCAATTCTTAAAATTCAGCTGACATGTACTTTAATGAAAGATTTAGAAATGAAAGTAGGTAAATGCATGTTAATTTAGAAAAGGAAACTGTATTTATATTGAATGAAAGGAAATGGAATTAATTTTAAAGAAAGGAAACCATTTAAATAGTATATCAATAGTTGACATGTTTTGGTAACCATTTTATAACACTAGATATTAACAATACTACAGGACAATACTAAATAATAATAAGAAATTCAGAATATATTTGGTAAAAGACTTGGGTATTGGTTATTATATGATTTCAAAATTTTGTCCATACCTGCACCCTTGATGATATCCATATTAGTTGTGATAGAAACTTGCTTATATAGGACAGCTTGTTTCTAAGCTCTAACAGTTTAAAAAATGTGGTTAGTTTTTAAGGTATTTTAAAAGTTTGATTGAAGCTAATGCTATTTTTGTCTCTCCTTGACGGAGTCAAAGCGAAACTTAGGTATGCTGTTTCGGGCGGCTGCAGCTCTGCATCAACAATGTATTAGTTTGTGATTAGGTCAATTTATAGAGAACCACTAGTGGTAGGTCAATGATATTTGGTATGCAGTTGTATTAGCATTGGCACATCTCATTTTCATGAAGACTATTTGGCCCCTTCCCCTCAGTCATGGTCTTTTGACTTTAATTTTTTTGCTAACTTAACATATATAAGTTTATGATTAGGTCAGTTTAAAGGGAACCCCTAGTGGTAGGTCTATGATATTTAGTATACAGATGCATAAGCATTGGCACATCTCATTTCCATGGAGATCATTTGGCTTGCTTCTTAAGTCATTGTCTATTCACTTTGAATGTTTTGCATAGTTTACATGTTAAAGTTTGTGATTAGATAGTTTAAGACGAACCGCTAGTGTTAAAAGTCAATGATAGTATTAGCATTTGCAAGTCTTCTTTTCCATTGAGATTATTTGGCCCCACCCCTATCAAGGTTCATTGACTTTGAAACTTTTACATTGTTTACAAGTTGAAGTTTGTGTTTAGGTTAGTTTTTAAGGAAACCAGTTAATTATAGTTAATAGTATTTGGTATGCAGTTTTATAAGCATTGGCATTTCTCATTGCCATGGAGATTATTTGGTCCTGCACCTTAAGTCATGGTTCATTGACTTTGAATGTTTTGCATAGTATACATGGATAAATATTGCTATTTGGATTCAATATTTGCATTACATAATCAAAATTATAAAAAGGTGAGACATATCTCTGTGTCAACAGTTTATTTTTATTAGCAAACCTGGAACATCTTCTCTGCATGCATTTTATACATGTATCTTTATAATGTTTATATTAGGATTCTCTGCTGTCTTGAACAGCTCTAATAGGTAAGTTCTGTCCCTTCTTGAAATAGCAATATGACCAGTTACATTGATTAAAGGAATACATGGTTTTTGACCCATTGATAGGTGGTTAATGTTCACCAGCAAATATTTCATGAATAATCACAACAGTAACATGTTATTGCAATATGAATATTTCCTGCTTTGTCCTAGATCAACAGTCAAAGTCAGTTTTATCTCACACTAGATCACAAGGTAATAGTCAGTTTTATCTCACACTGGTAATGTTAACAGTCAGTTTTCATCTCACACCAGCTTGCAGTTAACAGTCAGTTTTATCTCTCACTAGCTCACAAGGTAACAGTGAGTTTTATCTCACACTAACTAACAAGGAAACAGTCAGTTTTATCTCACACTAGCCCACAAGGTAACAGTCAGTTTTATCTCACACTACCCCACAAGGTAACATTATGCAGGAGACATGTCACCCTACCCAAGTACATTATCATGACCCCAGGCAGACTAGTCTTTTCTCAATAGTTTTTATACGACCGCAAAAAAATTTTTGCGGTCGTATATTGGTATGACGTTGGCGTCGTCGTCCGAAGACACATTGGTTTTCGCACTCTAACTTTAGTTTAAGTGAATGGATCTCTTTGAAATTTTACCATAAGGTTCAATACCACAAAAGGAAGGTGGGGATTGATTTTGGGGGTTATGGTACCAACAGTTAAGGAATTAGGGGCCAAAAAGGGGCAAAAAATAAGCATTTTCTAGTTTCCAGACAATAACTGTGGAACGGTGTATGGATCTCTCTGAAATTATACTACAAGTTTCCATACCACAAAGGGATGGTTAGGATTTGCTTTGGGGGGGTTATGGCTCAAACCGTTTAGGAATTAGGGGCAAAAAAGGGGGAAAAACAAGGTTGTCCTGGTTAATGGACAAATACTTTAGTACAAAACATAATTTAAAGCAGTGTAAGGGAGATAAATCAAATACATCATTGAAATTATCTCCCTTACACTGCTTTTAAATTATGTATAAAGTAATGATTAATGAACATTAAGATAATTTAAAACAGTGTAAGGGAGGTAATCCAAATACAATGTTTTGGTTACTTCCCTTACACTGCTTTTAAATTATGTTGAAAGAAATGCATATTTATAAAGGAAGACCAGTAAAAATATCTGCAAATGTTGCATCTTTTTTTTTTACAAAAAAAATCCATATGAAAGATTTGACACTATATTTTAAATTCTATTATAAAATAGGTTAAGTTAGCACTATGGTAAATTTAAATGGGTAATTATGGTTGCAAACTCCATTGGAAATTTGAATTGAGATTATGACCATATCTTGAGGGAAAGAATTTTTTGGGGGAAAAAAGGGGGGGGAGGGTAAAAAGAAATTGTGGGGGGTCAATTTTTTCTCATTTCAGATTTCAGAAATTAAAAAGAATTATTCTTCAAATATTTTTTTTTTTTCAAATTTTAAATATTGAAAAATTTCAAGAAGTAATCTTTAATTGCACAGTATGGCGCATTAGATTTGTAAAATCTTTGACCACATTTATTTATTTGTTATGCCGAATCTTACCATGTATTTAGATTTTTAATTTTGGGTCCAGTTTTCAAATTGGTTTACATTAAGGTCCAAAGGGTCCAAAATTAAACTTTTGTTTGATTTTAACAAAAATTGAATATATGGGGTTCTTTATATGCTGAATCTAAACATGTATTTAGATTTTTGATTTTTGGCCTAGTTTTCAAGTTGGTCCAAATTGGGGTCCAAAATTAAACTTTGTTTGATTTCAACAAAAATTGAATATATGGGGTTCTTTGATATGCTGAATCTAACCATGTATTTAGATTTTTTATTTGTGGACCCCGCTATCAAATTGGTTCATATTGAGGTCAAAAGGGTCCAAAATTATACTTCGTTTGATTTCATCAAAAATTGAATTATTGGGGTTCTTTGATATGCCAAATCTAACCGTGTATTTAGATTTTTAATTTTGGGTCCTGTTTTTTAAATTGGTCTACATTAAGGTCCAAAGGGTCCAAAATTAAACTTAGTTTGATTTTAACAAAAATTGAATTCTTGGGGTTCTTTGATATGCTGAATCTAAACATATGTTTAGATTTTAGATTCCAGTTTTCAAGTTGGTCCAAGTTGGGGTCCAAAATTAAACTTTTTTTGATTTCAACAAAAATTGAATATATGGGGTTCTTTGATATGCTGAATCTAAACATGTATTTAGATTTTTGATTTTTGGCCCAGTTTTCAAGTTGGTCCAAATTGGGGTCCAAAATTAAACTTTGTTTGATTTCAACAAAAATTGAATATATGGGGTTCTTTGATATGCTGAATCTAACCATGTATTTAGATTTTTTATTTGTGGACCCCGCTATCAAATTGGTTCATATTGAGGTCAAAAGGGTCCAAAATTAAACTTCGTTTGATTTCATCAAAAATTGAATTATTGGGGTTCTTTGATATGCCAAATCTAACCGTGTATTTAGATTTTTAATTTTGGGTCCTGTTTTTTAAATTGGTCTACATTAAGGTCCAAAGGGTCCAAAATTAAACTTAGTTTGATTTTAACAAAAATTGAATTCTTGGGGTTCTTTGATATGCTGAATCTAAACATGTATTTAGATTTTAGATTTTTGGCCCAGTTTTCAAGTTGGTCCAAATTGGGGTCCAAAATTAAACTTTGTTTGATTTCAACAAAAATTGAAAAATGGGGTTCTTTGATATGCTGAATCTAAACATGTATTTTGATTTTGGACATTGGACCATAATAGGTAAATTAAAAAAATTCAAGTTCTTAGACCACATTCTTTCTGTGTCAGAAACCTATGCTGTGTCAAATATTTAATCACAATCCAAATTCAGAGCTGTATCAAGCTTGAATGTTGTGTCCATACTTGCCCCAACTGTTCTGGGTTCGACCTCTGCGGTCGTATCAAGCTGCGCCCAGCGAAGCATTTTATTAACAGTTTTTAGCATAATTTACTTTGGCTGCCACCCATGATTCTTATGCCCCACCTAGCGGCATTATGTTTTTCGGTCTGTGCATCTGTTTGTCTGTCCATCCGTCTGTCCCGCTTCAGGTAAAAGTTTTTGGTCAAGGTAGTTTTTGATGAAATGAAGTCCAATCAACTTGAAACTTAGTACACATGTTCCCTATGATATGATCTTTCTAATTTTAATGCCAAATTAGAGTTTTGACCACAATTTCACGGTCCACTGAACATAGAAAATGATACTGCGAGTGGGGCATCCGTGTACTATGGACACATTATTGTTTGTTTTTGTGTCTAGGGATTCGATATCATCATTGGCAACTTTTGATTACAGAACATTTTGGATCCTAGGTTGCGACCAAGGGTTTCCTCAAGCTTTTATATCGGAAAAATGCACAAAATCATCGTTTATTGACAATATATCTAAAATGTGCTGATTTTGAAGCCAAGAATGTAGAATTATGAAGAGATTTATTTTAACAAAGAAGTAAGGCCTTTGAAATAGATCCATTTTAGAACCAAATTATGGTGATTTTGAAATTTTTTGATGAAGTTGAAATTCAAGGCCATTTTAGGCCTAAAGTGAATCTTGTCCTTTGTGCTTAACCTTTACCTAAGAAATCCACAAAGATTGGTACCCCACAAATAATAATAAATGCACAGTATTTTATATTAAAAAAAACAATTTTTTGTAACTTAAAATAAAAAAAAGAAGAAAAAGTTGTAAATTATCATATAAAGATGTAATATCTTTCTCTAAAAATAAAAGTTGACACACTTTTGTACTATTTATTCATGACTTGACATTTTGGAATAATCAGCTAGTACTAGTGTTCGTGTTTGGTTCATCGACATAAATGAATGGTTTCTCTAATTATATATTTCTGAATACCACGACTTAGATCAAGTATACATTTACTGATTTAATACTATTGATCTAACAACTAATACCTTGTATAATCAGGAACTATAGAATTCTAATATTTCTGAGTCACTGACATTCAAAGAAGGCATTACTTTTATGTTTCTTTAGTAAGCTGTGCTGTGTTCAAATTACTTTTGTCATTAATCTGTATCTGATGCTAATTTAAAAGATGTCAAATATGTCTTACTGTTTTCTTAGAAGATTTATTTTTTTATAGATCTTATAAAAAAAATTTCAGTTCGTTAGTTGATAATGATTTTAAAGATTTTCAATTAAATGCAAAAACTGAGATAGTTTCCTTCAGGATTAGGAATGCAGTAAAATCATGACATGAATAGTTGAGAAAAACATTTTAGACCACAAAATTCAATATCTTTAAAAACAAAAAAAATGGTCATATGCTTTTCTGATAAAGGTTATTATAAAAACAAAAATTTATATTTTTCTGTGAAGTGAAAAAGTAATATAATATATAATATATATGCATAAATTTTTTTTAAGAATAAAAACATGGAAAGGGGTATAATTTTATTAGTATTTTCAAGCTATAACATGACACAAATATAACAAAATTGATATATGTACTTTAAAACATAAGTCTTGTCTCTACTATTTTTGCACTGAAATGATGTTACTTTGATATTCTACTTTGGTTGACAAAATTTGTAAAATTTGTTGAATTTTAAAGTTATCCTCTTGATACATATGTGTTGCGCAGCAGGTTGTGGTGTCCATTTTGGTATTATTTTCGTTTTTCATTTGCTCTGTTTAATACTTTTGATTTCCAATAATTCGTTTCTGTTACATGTTCTGATGTTGAAATTGTGGAATACACATAAAGATTACCTTCCTTTCTTTGCTTTGGCATTATATCATCCTGCAAAGTTGCTCTGTAATGTATCTTTGAGACTTTTAAAAGCAGAACTTATCAGCTATATCATAATGTCTGAGAAGAAGTTATCAGGAACATGACAAAGTATAAGGAGACGTTATCAAGCTTACTTTTGTCAAACATAGAACTGTATAAGCAAGAGGGATAAGATGAAAAATAGCACGATAAAGAGATTATCTGGTGTTCTGTGTATGGATAAAGTAAAATATCAGCCACTTGTCAAAATATGAATCTTTCTTGATCGTTGACTTTGTTTACTTGCCAAAAACGTTCACATTGTGGCTTGAGACTTGTATTTTAGGTTATTAATGTGTAGTAAACCAGATAATCTATACTTCTCCTTCTGTTGTGAGTTGGGTACAATATATCTTTCCTCAAAATAGCTACATTTTTAATTTACAACATGGCAGCTTTAGCCAGCATGTTGAAAGTGAACTATTATAAGTGGAGAAATAACATCAATCAGAATCTAACAAAAGGAGACTTCTCAAATGTTGTTCAATCTTTGAAATGAAAAAAAACATGTCTTGGGATAGGACAACAATACCTCTGTTCCCAACAAAGCTATCATTAAAATGACATCATAAGGAATTAGCCAATCACTGAAATAATGTTTTATTGTGCGAGACAGTTTAATTTGCATATGATTTTCAATTTTTGTAGTGTATAAATTGCTATTATTATAAATGGGAGAAATATGATATGTTGTTAACCTTCAATAATTAGAAAAATAATAGGAATAGATAGTTCATTATGCTAAAATATTGTTCATTATGCTAAAATATTGATTCTAATTACAGGAAGATTAAATTGGTGGGCAGACATGGGAATTTGCCAAAGGTTGATACCCATGGCAACCACTGGGGATGGAAACTGTCTTTTACATGCAGCTTCTCTTGGTAATTTGTAGAATTATATATAAACTAAGATTTTATTTTTTTTAAGTTATTGTGTGTGCCAAAAAGGTAGTGTTCTTTTGATTAGATTTTCAGTAACATCCTTACACAATCCAAGTAGGGCCGTGGCCCAGTGGTCTAAGTAGTTCATCTACTGTATCACTAGCCTGTCATCACTGGAGTTTGAACCCTTCACATTGCAGGTGCCTTACACTCCATCTTAATTGACTAGGATTGTCAGTTTTCCTGCCAAAGATCAATGGTTTTCTCTCTTGGCATTCCGGCTTCCTCCACCAATAAAAACTGACTGCCACAATATAGCTTAAAGTGGTGTTAAACACCACAATCAATCAATCAATCACAATTCAAGCTTTGAAGAAAATTTTTGTATACTTTCAAACAACTTCTAGTATGAAGATACACAACTCATGTTGACGATTATTTAAGATTAAAGTTTCATGAATGACCTGTTGAGTGAATTAGATGAAGTGCAAATAAAAAGACATTTTTCTCGTCAAGTTGGAATGATAAAAAGCAAGCTATAGCTATATATAAGGTTAATAACTTTTGTAGCAAAATGGTCATTGACAATGGAATTCAGTACTTTTCACTTAGGTATTTTTGAGAAGAAGTACATAAAATAGATCATAGATATTTGATTTATAGATATATGCAGCATCCATGCATTTCAATTTTAAGTGCAACATGATTCTCTGTTCCCATCATCCATGTTTAATTGATATTAGAATTAAAGATATCTTAGGTATTTTCTGAATTCATTGATTTACAGCAATGTTGGGTATCCATGATAGACAGTTAATGTTGAGGAAAGCTTTGTATGACTCGCTAACATGTAAACCATATTGTACAGCACTTAAAAGAAGATGGAGATGGCATCAGACACAACTAAATTTACAGGTATGTAATGACTATGACTGATTTTTATGACCACTGATATAGGCTGGGAATGTTTAGGCCCCACCTAAGATAGTAGAGGGGCATTATGTTTTTCGGTCTGTGCGTCCGTCCGTTCGTTTGTTTGTCCGTCCCGCTTCAGGTTAAAGTTTTTGGTCAAGGTAGTTTTTGATGAAGTTGAAGTCCAGTCAACTTGAAACTTAGTACACATGTTCCCTAAAATAAGATCTTTCTAATTTTAATGCCAAATTAGAGTTTTGACCCAATTTCACGGTCCACTGAACATAGAAAATGATAGTGCGAGTGGGGCATCCGTGTACTATGGACACATTCTTGTTTATGTAGTGTTTTGTAAACTGTTTGTCTTTTCTTCATTTTTTTACATTATTTAGTCAGTTTTTCTTCAATTCATGAGTCTTTTTTTCTGTATTGTTGATTCTTTGAGATTTTCTTGAGATGCAGCTTTTCCTATAAGTTTACCGGGAGACCTTTATAAAAACAAAAAGGCAGCTGTTTGTAATTAAAAAAATAAACATGAAGAGTCAATCTGTGCATATATTGTATGTTTCTGTCGTTAAATGCATAATTTTTTTCAAAATTTTCTATTTTATAGTATGGTTTAGTATTTTCTGAAGAAGAATGGCAAAAAGAATGGAATAGTGTGTTAAAGTTAGCATCATCAACTCCAAGATCATTTCCTTGGAATAACCGAAGGAATAGCAGCTGTTGTGACAGCCCTGTAACGAATAGGTAAGACCTGAACAGAATAAAGATTCCAATACAGCTAAAAAGTTTCAATATACTCAATTGTAGACACACATAATGATATAAAATCAAACAACAGTCTAAAAACAAACCAGGGTATTGCCCAGCCCAGTTGAATTACGGGAAAAACTTGGGTTTTACCAGGTAATACTTGGCAAAATGAAATACTGGCCTGAATATGTAAGAGGATTCAGTGATATATAACATATGCAATACTTAAAAAAAGATAAATAAGAAGACTCAATTTAGAAGTTAACTTGTTTGAGATTCCTTTTATATTACCGGTAAAAATGTTTTTGTTTTTTCAGCAATTCTGGTGATGATGTAGACCCAGTTGTTTATGAAAGTTTAGAGGAATTCCATGTCTTTGTCCTGGCTCATGTTTTACAGCGTGCCATAATTATTGTAGCAGATACCATGCTGAAGGATACTCATGGTGACGCTTTAGCACCAATACCTTTTGGAGGGATTTATCTCCCCTTAGAATGTAATCCAGCCACTTGTTATAGGTCACCATTATTGTTGACATATGATGCTGCACATTTTTCTGCTCTTGTTCCCATGGAAAAAGAGAAATCTCAGAAAGATAAGCCTAGTCTTCCGTGTAAGTATAGAATACTTACTCTAAATACAACCATTAAAACAAAGGTGGAAATTTGATTTTATTTTACTTTCATATAACTCGGAAACAACCTTCTTCTTTTTAACACTCTCCCTTGTAAAAAGAAACAAATGCCAGTTTGTTGAAGTGTGGAAGCGTTTTTGGATCTGTCAGACACCTAATTTCTTTTTCCGTGACTTTGAAATTCAAATGAGGATATGCTTATGACATGTATCTTTCTGTTGTTATTTAGAAGTCATTTACTGTTCACATGTTGGTAACTCAGCAGTGCATCCAAAACTTTTTAAATACTTTTTAAATAAATAAAGTATTTGATTTTCCAAAAGTTAGGCTTATTTATTTGTTTGTTTAATTTTTATAAACAGTACAGGTACAAAAGAAAAACATTTTGAAATAAAAGGTAAATTTGATCTGTTTTTGATTATTTTATTAAAATAATGACGAACAGAAATTGCGGGTACAGGATATTTTTGCGCAGACATTATAGCCCGGATTTATTTGTTCACCTGTATTTTCAAAAGCCTATTTTAGCGAAACTTACCTGGTTCAAATATACTTGCTTAATCTTTATAAGTCCTTTGCATTTACAATTTGGACAAACATGGAGATAAATGTTCTTGAAACAAACAGGAAATAAACGTTCAAAATGTGATGGTTTTTCTATCTATTATATTCAAATTACAAACAATAACATATAATAAAATAAGAAGTATCGATGAGTGTGCACCTCAATCTAGACATGACAAAGAGAAGGAACAGTACATATATCGCAATTTTATGAACAGTACTGTACAGGGTGTATACCAAGAGCCCATTACGTACATTTACTGGGATATAAATTCTAGGCTAGAACGGACTTGTAAAATTTGTATTAAATTTTTTTTATATTGGTATCACGTCGTCGTCTTCCGAAGATGCATTGGTTTCCAGACAATAACTTGTTTAAGTGTATGGATTTCTATGAAATTTTACAATAAGTTTTATACCCACAAAAGGAAGGTTGGGATTGATTTTGGGGTTATGGTCCTAACAGTTCAGGAATTAGGGGCCAAAATGGGGCCCAAATAAGCATTTTTCTAGTTTCCAGACAATAACTTGTGAAATGGTGTATGGATCTCTCTGAAATGATACCACAAGTTACCATATCACAAAGGGTAAGAATTTGCTTTGGGGGGTTATGGCTCAAACTGTTTAGGAATTAGGGGCAAAAAAGGGGGAAAAACAAGGGTTTCCAGGTTAATCGACTATTACTCAAGTACAAAACATAATTTTAAAGCAGTGTAAGGGAGGTAATTCAAACACATATTGTCAAATTACCTCCCTTACACTGCTTGTAAATTATTTATAAAGAAATATATTGTCTTTAGGTGATTAGCTGTCAATTCATTTTTAGGAGTTACTATTTTAAAAATGTTTAATAAAGGTAATTTAATTATAGCCATGATTATGTATGTGAAGGAATTTTATTTTGAGTTATTACTATTTAATGTTGCTGATGGAGGCTTTTTAATTTTAGGCATGATTATGATGTCATTTTCTATTTTGAAAATTATTTAATTTTAGCCATGATTATGTATGTGAAGGAATTTTATTTTTAGATATTACTATTTAATATGGCTGATGAAAGTGTTTTAATTTTAGGCATGATTATGATGTCAATTTTATATGACCGCAAAAATTTTTTGCGGTTGTATATTGGTATGACGTTGGCGTCGTAGTCGTCATTGGTAGAAGACACATTGGTTTTCGCACTCTAACTTTAGTTTAAGTGAATGGATCTCTGAAATTTTACCATAAGGTTCAATACTACAAAAGGAAGGTTGGGATTGATTTTGGGGGTTATGGTACCAACAGTTGAGGAATTAGGGGCCAAAAAGGGGCCAAAAATAAGCATTTTTGTAACTTCCAGACATAACTTGTGTGTTAGTGTATAGATCTCTCTGACATTGTACCACAAGGTTCCATATCACACAGGGAATGCTGGGAATGATTTGGGGGGTTATTGCCTCAAAATATTGGGAATAAGGGGCCAAAAAGGGGAAAAAAACAAGCATTTTTCTAGTTTCATGACAATAACTTGTGTTTAAGTGTATGGATCTTTCTGAAATTGTACTGCAAGGTTCCATATCACAAAGGGAAAGCTGGAATTGAGTTTGGGGGTAATTGCCCAAAACGTTTAGGAAAAAGGGGCCAAAAATAAGCATTTTTCTAGTTTCCAGACAATAACTTGTGTTCAAGTGTATGGATCTCTCTGAAATTGTACTGCAAGGTACCATACCACAAAAGGAAGGCTGGGATTGATTTTGGGGGTAATTACCTCAAAATTTTAGGAATTAGGGGCCAAAAAGGGGCAAAAAACAAGCATTTTTCTAGTTTCAGGACAATAACTTGTGTGTAAGTGTATGAATCTTTATGAAATTGTACTACAAGGTTCCATATCACAAAGGGAAAGCTGGGTTTGAGTTTGGGGGTAATTGCCCTAAATGTTTAGGAATTTGGGGCCAAAAAGGGGCCTAAAAACAAGTTTTTTTCTAGTTTCCAGACAATAACTTGTGTTTAAGTGTATGGATCTCTCTGAAATTGTACTGCATGGTACCATACCACAAAGGAAAGGCTGGGATTGAGTTTGGGGGTGGTGAATCATAAGGGGGTTCAAAAAATTTTGGGGAGGGATTTTTTTTTTCCTTTTTTTTTACTTTAAAATTTTCCATTTTAAATTGGTTATTTCTGATTTATATATAAAAGCAAATAATAATGATATGATTTGATATTGGACCATAATAGGTAAATTAAAATTTTGTAAGTTCTTAGACCACATTCATTCTGTGTCAGAAACCTATGCTGTGTCAAATATTTAATCACAATCCAAATTCAGTGCTGTATCAAGCTTGAACGTTGTGTCCATACTTGCCCCAACTGTTCAGGGTCGTATCAAGCTGCGCCCAGCTGATCATTTTATTGATAAATGAAAGGTTATTGAGTTACATTGACACATGAGACAGGAGTATGTGAATTAAAATCACAAATCCTACACAATTTCAATGATAGATAGTTTTTAATCAGAAATCATGTTCAAACTGGGGTTAATTATCAAATGACAATATTTGAAATAAAATATTAGATGGTTAGAGAGTTAAAAACTTCTTAAATGTGGTACATTTAAATATATTTGTACTATCAGACAGAGCAGTAGGATGGGTATTTAATTTTTGTAACAAGAAACAAAGTCATTTTCTGTATATACTTGCAACTTATATTTTTATGTCATTTTTCTTTATTTGAAATAGTTAATAACTGATTTTGTTATTTTGTTTTTACTGAACTTTTTTTGTTTGTTAAAAAAGATTTTCTGATGTCATAATATTAGAAATACAGTGTACAAAAATGTTTTTGATCTATCTTTCAGTATCTATTCCATTAGTTGGACCAGATCTAAAGCTATTACAGTTACATTTCAACGTGGATCCAGGAGCAAACTTTAACTTTTCTTCTGGTACAGGTAACTCTCTTGCCAAAGTAAAAACAACTTTATCTCCTGAAGACCATATGAATTTGTTACAAAAATATATGGATTTGGAACGTATACCATATGTTGAATCTGATGTGGATAGTGACACAGATCGTAAATCTAGTGGATCATATGATTCTGATGATAATATAGCCTGCATAGGGAAAGAGAAAAAGAAGGATGGAAAAGGATCTAAACAAAGTGTGTCAAAACAGTTTGGGAGTTTAGGTAAGACTGTTGGTAAAAAGTTAAAGAAAAATTTTGGAAATGTTGGAAAGTCTCTAAAAGCAATGGGTCCAGATAATGAAAAAAGTCGTAAAGCCTCAATTGGAAGTGGACTTACACAGAGTACAAAGGTTCCCATGACGATAGCAGCCATGATTGATCAGGAACAAAAGTTTGTATGGACAGCCAAACTTAATGTTAAAATAACAGATGAGCAAACTAAAATGATAGGGAATTATCTTAAAAGTGCTGAAGGCCGTTTTCGAGAGGAACGTTCACTCCTGAAAGCTGCTGGCGATGAGATACGGAGACGTTCGATAGGAGCTTCTTTACAGGATTTGCATACATCTGGAACACCAGTCAGATGTGTAAATTCTGAATGCCAGTTTATTGGAAATGTAGATACACATTATCTTTGTTCAAAATGTTTTGAAGAGCAAAAAATTGCAACTCTTGACCGTAATAGGCCTTTGAAAGAAAATTATGCTACGTATCCTGGACGTGTTCCAAAACAAAATTCTGAGGTTGAAACCTATGGGAAGTCAAAGTTTTATACTCATGTAGGTGAGGAAGAGGCATCAGAATTAGCCAAGGTAAATCTTCGTAATAAACCAAATCCAACACCTAACACCAATTCTGCTGATACCAGGAGTCGTTCTACAGGAAATGTTCCAGTGAACAAATATTCAAGACAAAGGACACCATCACCAGATTATGATAATGTTGAATACAAAGTTAATTTGAAAACCCAACCTTCTCCGAAACTTCTGCCAAAAATTCAAAATATGACTGCTAACAAACAGACAACAAGACCTGCATCTATGTCTGGGACTAATGGTAAACCAGAACCAGTACCTGTTCCAAGTAAACCACTCTCAACTACCACAAGTGTTCAGTCCACAAACCGTCCCGTTGGCCCTGCAGGAACAAGACACTGTCAAACGCCAGGATGTGAATTTTATGGCAGTGAAAAAACTGATTATTTGTGTTCAGCTTGTTACAAAGTGAGACAAAAAAGCAATGACTACATTAAAACTAGGTTGTAGGACTATAATATATATCAATTAGCTTTATCAATTCAATAATTTAGAAAGATGAAAGTAGTAGCACTGTTGTTTATTTAGCAAATATTTCCAACTTGAGCGGTAAAAGTACTGATAGAAAATCTGTTGTATACTGTAGCCTTTGACTTCTCATGTATATGTTAGGGGACTTAAAGTTTTTACTATATAAAATATGTGTATCATTAGCAGTGCCACAGTGTACTAGAAAATGTTTATGTTGACATGATTGCAATTCTGTTAGGGTGTTTGCACTTTACACAATTATTCATAGTTTTGCTTATACCTCCATGATGCTTTCAGTTGTACTGTATTTTTATGGTGTTTACAAACTTGGCAGAAAACAATTTGGTATGATAATAATGACAGATGAGAGGTTTAGATTGAAATTCTTCTGATAGAGCTGAGTTCAAAATTTTTTTGAAAATTATACATTTTTTTCTTTCTTTAAAATTGACAGCTTTAAATTGTAAAGGATCTTGAAATACTGCATTTATATTCCCTGTTTATCTAAGTTAAGACATACCTGTCAACCTCTGAAAATGAAAATGCAGTTCATGACCCGCATTGAAGAAGAAAATCTCAGGTCATAACATGTATGAACTTTTTTCAGCTGAATTTAAGTATTTTATAGGGGACATTTTTTTTTATATCTTAACTTTTAAAGATACTATACATAAAAGAATTAAAGAATGAGTTTCCTTATAAAAATGTTTAGTTTTTTGAAAAGAATACTTTAATAATTAGATATTATACCTATCATCTGCTCAACACACAATAAGAGCTTCTTTATATCAGATATTTTGCTGTGCTCACTTGCCAAATAAAAATCTTACTGTCTCTGAATACTGTTATATTGTTTTATATTGAATAATATTTTACTATATTATTTAAATGTAGTAAACTTAACAAACTAACTCTTGATTTATTTGTTTGTTCTATTTAAAGCATGACAGTAAATTCATATGCAGTTGGAAAATAATTGAGGGAAAATAAGCAACTTTATGAATAAATGATTTCAAAATATAATCCGTTTTCTTATGAAATAAATGCTACTAGTATCCATTTGGTATTTTAGATGTATAAAAAGATGGCTTTATACTTTGTAATGAAGTCTGTTGAAGGGTTGTTGCTTGAATGCTAACATGCCAGAGGAATTTTAACACACCATCACATAGATATGACCATTATATTATTTATTATCTAGTGATATCCTTTTTACACAATTTTTTTTTTTTTTTTGCTTTATAAATGTTAGTGAATAATTTTGTGATATGTTCTTATATCATTATAAGAACAAACACATATACCTGTATCAGGCCTTCTGTTATATATTGATTGGTACTATTATCATCGAGCTTGTTGTTAAGTAATATTTATTTTAGTTTAAATTATATTTTCTTTTATTTTAAAAAACTTATTAATTAATGTATAGTGCTTGTTATCTGCATAGCTGTTTCGATATATTTACATATTTACAATGTTCTTTTTCTCAATTTATTTATTTGTCTGTTGTCTGTATTTAAACAAATAACATAAATATCAGAAAACTGAAAATAACATAAAATGTGAAAGCTGTTATAACAGCAACACTTTAAATTTGAAAATAACATTGATATCTGAAAATAACATAGCTATCAGATAACTGCAAATAACATAGATATCTGAAAACTGAAAATAAAATAGGTATCAGAAAACTGAAAAAGATATAGATATCAGAAAACTGCAAATAATCTAGATATCTGAAAACTGAAAATAACATACCGGTAGATATCAGAAAACTGAAAATAACATAGATATCAGTTTCTTTCTTTACCTTGGTTAGATTTTGTCAAGTTTTGTTTGTGGAAAAGAACTATATTTCACAAATGTAGCAGTTGAATGATGATTCATAGTTATCATATAAAGTATCATCTACCAAGGTTGTAGAAGAAAGAGACCAATCATTACCTCTTGATGGGGCTCGGAGTCCCCTCCAGTAGGGTACCACCCTTAGGTCTCAAGGTCATGATTAAAATTTTAAAATAATAAAATATTTGAATAAAAGTTTTTGAACAATTTTAAGGTCTCAGGTCCTTTCAAATGAGACATCAGGTTGCAAGGTTGCAATGTCAGATTTTACCATGTTGGAGCCAACTGGATAGGGAATGCACAATTATTATCAAGTTATGTCATTTTTTTCCTCCCATTGCATAATTTCTTATAGGGCTTTAATTGTTCATGCATAATTTACTTTGTGTTTGCTTTACCTTTTTTTATTTATGTTATAGCTATTGTGATTAACTTATTACTTTGAAGTAAACAAAAATAACATGTTACCATATTTTCCAGATTTCAAATATTTGTGAAGTAAATTTCTGTTACCTTAGTAAACATGTTTAACCCTTTCCTCCATAATGACGCCTTTTGACGCCACCCCCTTTACTCCATAATGACGCCTTTTGACGCCTCTGTATAGTACCTCAGTTGAAACACTTTGACTACAAAATGTCTGTATCAGACTTAATAAAATTTGTATCCAATATAAAAAGGATATTCATAAAAACATCTGACTTGAATTTCATTGATGAAATATTTGTTTTCGCAATGCATTAATACTTTAAACGTGCCGATTATTTTTATAAATAGCCGTCGCCATTTTTTCGAAGTTCTTGTTGACAACCAAGTTTCAGAACACTGACATTGTCACGTTAACTACATTTATTGTTGGTTATTAATACCAACTGGTTATAAAATACCTAATAATCAATGTTTACGATACAGTTTGCGTAAAAAAAACTTTATTTTGAAACTCCGAGTGTTCACTGCCGCTTTTCTCGCTTTGGAGTCGTACATTATTGCAACAAAAGCATTTTTTTTGAAACTTACGTTGAAATATCAGAAATTTAATGAACAACGCAGAGATATGCAGTTGAGTCCATACAATTCTTTTCTGACCCATTGAGTGAACAAATATAGCAACTTGTAAAATGTAAACATGTGTTTGGGGAATCCCATTATACGACTTCCGGCGAGTCATTAAGTGGGCGGGAACATACAAATTTTAATGACCACAAAAAAATCTTTCAACGTACAATCTTTCAATGTTTTTGCTTATAGAAAGTGACATTTAAGTTTCAATCATAATTATTTTAAGTTCTTCAATTAAATTAACGAGAATAGCGAATTATGCAACAATATTCAGCATCCGTAAGTTGTGATTCTAAGCCCCGCCCACCAATAGAATTTACCGTTTTTACAGTGATGTTTACACAAACAAAAGATGATGAATATTTTTTCCGCGATGTTTATTTCAACAATTATGAAGGCATATGGTTCCGTGAACCACTTTGTTTTAGTAGTAACAATTTGACTAACAAATTACAGAGCCTTAACTTTGCAGTTCACTTCCCATTTATAAAATATGTCAGACTAAAAGAACAGACATACGTGCATTTTTCTCTTCACGATTTTCGCCGTATTTCGGGTTTCAGAGAATCAAAATTCGAGATAGAAGTAAAAATGTAGTTAATCATTTGATTAAAAGCTACCTTAAATTTAAGCAACCAACTGATCAGCACATCATATTATTAATGTTTAGTAGAGGAACAACAGGGATATCAAATAATATTAGTATCCTAAACTTTGATGAAAGAACATGTCATGTTCATACATTGTATGTTGCAAATTTTTTTCAAGTTGTACATCCCAAAATTGGTTTCCGTTCTCTAACTTGAGTTTGCCTCAACCAAAAGTTATGAAACTTATGCACAATGCTTATTACCACAAAACACAGATCAAGTTTGAATTTGGGTAGTGTCACTTTAACCATTATTGAGTTATGCTATACACAATATTCATTACCACAAAACTAAGATCAAGTACAAATTTTTTGTTTCCGTTTTCTAACTTTATGTTGCCTCAACCAAATGTTATGAAACTGATACACAATGCTTATTACTACATGATACAGATTAAGTACGAAATTTGGTGGCGACACTTTTACCATTCTAGTGTTGTGTCCCTTTATTATCATAAAAATTGCTGAATTTTTTAGTTTGTCTCAACTAAATGTTATAAAACTTATACACAACCGTTCTAGAGTTATGCGTGTTTACAAATAGAAAAATTGCTGAATTTTAGTTTCTGCTCTCCACTTTAGTTAGCCTCAACCAAATTTTATGAGACTTACACACAATGCTTATTACCACAAAACTCAGATCAAGTTCAAATTTGGGTAGCGTCACTTTTACCGTTCTTCAGTTATGTCCCTTTATAACTATATGATATGCAAGCGGGGGCATCATCTGTGTCCACATGTGGACACTATCCACATTTATTGTCTATTTGAATCACTGCCCAAGTTTGTGTTGCACAGTCTTAAGTTTTCTATGTAGTGTTTTGTAAACTGTTGTTTGTCTTTTTTCTTTTTCGTTGTTTACCATTGTGTTGTCAGTTTATTTCAACTTATGCGTTTGAATGTCCCTTTTGCCTCTCTTTGGGGAGTAATGTGCGCTCATAATCATAATTAACACAACCACATTATGTATGTTTCTGTCCAAAGTCAGAAGCCTATTATTCCGTGGTTGTTGTTGGTTGCTGTCTATCATCTTTTTGTTTACCCTTTTAGCATAAATCAGGCCATTGGTTTTCTAGTGTGGATTGCTTCACATTTTGTCATAACATGCATAACACATAAACTATGAATGGTCATTGTCTTACATCCACATTATTTGGACTGTTGAAAAGTCACATTGGCAATCTTACCACATTTCCTTATTTCATTATTGTATGCAAAACAGTCTACAGAAAGATCTTTAGAAGACTAGCATTGAGAAGAGGTAAACAAATAAGGATTTATAAGGACCTCCTTCTGAATATGCATGAAATATTTGCCACTGCACGTGAAACAAACAACCAATCAATGTAATGGCTATCTATTGTAGATTTTGAAAGATATGCATATATGTATGATTCGTGTTTTACAAATGAATGGAACCTTTCCTTCATCTTTTTTCTTTCAAATCTTCTGTGTATCTAGAAGAAGGAATGATGAAAAGAAAATACCTAACCCTGGGGAAGAGGTTAGCTGAATTCTTTCAAGTTAATGTATTGTTATTTCTGGAGGGGAAGGGGTTTGCCTTTATAGGAAAAAACCTAAATTGAAATAATGTTTTTATTTTTTATAAATTCAAATTGTGATGAAACGCACAGCAGGATATCAACATAGGAAAAAGTTTAATACCCTTCTAGATTTCAGGATTGATGTTACATTTTCAAGGGGACTTTACAAAGAGAAACAGGCATATGCATAATCAGCATGTTGTTAACAATGACAGTGTCAGTGTTCCATTGAACACAACTAAAACCAGATGCAAAATGGTGTACAAAAATGTAATAAAAAGAAACTATACCACATGCTATTATTTTCATATTGCCTTTTCAAACTGTGATATTTATCACTACTAGTATACAAAAAGGTCTTTGTTAAACAACTTCGCAAACATCATAGATATCTGATAACTAATAATGCATTTTCTAATTTGTTGGCCTAAGCACCTACTTTTTAGTCTGATTCTTGGGCCTTATTTGGATGCTAGGAGCACACATATGTTAAATCTTTTTCAAGAGCAATGTTGTGATAAAAAGTTTCCATTTGTTATCATCCAAAATATCTAACTGTCAACTGATCATTTTTTACTTATTATACAGGATTTCAGTTGGTTGCTATGAACAGAAACTGTTGCTAGGGAAAAATAATGTACAATATTATTTTCCATAATATATTCCAATATATGAGTCATCTTGATTAACCTGTAAAAACCTTATTTTGAAATATTTGCACCAATTTTTTTTTAAATTCAATTTTAATCACAATTTTCTTTGGTTGCTACGGAAATACTTCTGTTGCTATGAAGAAAAAAATAGACAAATTTTAAAGAAAATAAAGTTTCCATTCTGATTATTTATGTACATTCAATTCTCTCATTGTTTTCTTAGAAACAAATTGATATTACAAAATTTAACCCAAAATTTAATCATTTTAATTTTATATTTGGATAAATCTGTTACCATGGCAACAATATTAAAAATTTTTTTTTAGTAAATTTTGAAGATCTGACTTAAATGTATAACTGACAAAAAATTTCAAATGTCTAACTGGTCTATTAGAGGTACAGTCAATATTTCATTAAAGTAAGCATATTTTCAGCATTTTAATGAAAAATCCTATGCAAATCAAGTATGTAAAAAAAAAATTTCCATGGAGGAAAGGGTTAATAAAATGAATTATAACGATAAATTTGTAGAAGAGCCAATGGTTGCCACTTAGTTTACTTTGATAGAATGACCTCTTAACAAAACTCTAACCAAGATTGATTGTTTGCAGTTTTATTAATAAAAGAAGGAGTAAACTAACAACCATTTTACTTTTTAAATTCATAGACATTTCACGGTATCATATCTAATCTTAACAAAAACTGCTGTTCTCCTAAAGTCTTGAAAGTGTTGCTTTTTTGGGGTTTTTTGTTTGCCAATTGTTAAGTTTATGCATTATTATTTAGTGTTTACATTTTTGGAAATTGCAATGATACTATTGAATTTTAGTCATTTCAAGGTACTGTTTCTCAAAAAGACTGTATGGAGGAGCTGTAACCAATCGTTTTGTTAGTTGTAAACTTAAAACATCGTAAAACTGTTAAATTTAAACATACATGGTACACAGGGAAGGCCCTATTTAAAATTGGGTAGGGTAACCACCTATAGAGGCAAAGTTAGAATTTAACCTACATTTTCACTGTACTTGACACTCACTCACAGTTTGAGAAGTGCCTTCCATTGTTTACATGTATGATTTAATAAAACAGCTCAAACATTCTTAGATGGAATTATATCTTGATGTTTCTGCAAAGTAAAAATGTATTGATTTTTTTTTTTTTGTATTTAAGATGTAAGAGGTGAATATGTTGCTAGAGTGTTTTGCACAAAAATGTTTTATCTGGCCATCAACTATTATACTGCACAAATGATGGTGTGCAAATGAACTTGCAATATTTGTTAAGTATATTGTTCAACTTGTTCCCTGGTATCTGGCCTTTCACAAAAAAAATCACAAGAAATATTACAACTAAAATTGATGACTTGTAATATTTTTGGGTGAAAGGCCTGGTTCTCTTTATGTCATATTCTATTTATGTGGTAATAGCTTGCATACAAGCAATATATACTTCTTTGGTAAACAAGGACAGAGTCTTGTATTGTTAAAATCTTTAGCATCTTTTATAAGTGATAAATATTAAATCTTTCTGGAAGAACAGGTTTGTACTAAAATTCACAACTTATATTAAATAAGTAGACATGATAGAAAGAAACCAATTTGTTTTTAGATATGCAAATTTATACATGATGTTGTTGTGGAATATGTGTGTACATACATGATTATTTATTATTGTTTATTTAAAGGTTGAATGAAATAAATTTGTTAATTGCTTTTCTTCCATTGTCTCTTCTTCATCAGCACAGAGTTAATATTTGAAACAGTAATTCTTCAAAATAATTAGAACACACCCACATTGCAGGTCCGTGACCGAACTAAAGTACCTAGGCCTTATTTTTTAGCCTGGATTTTTAGTATTCGTATTGTCTTCTGATAAATTCATGCTGATTGTAAGGTGCACAGTTTTCTCTGCTTTCAAAATCTTTCTGTTTGAACCCATCCTGTTTTTCTTACTACAATAAACTTACTATAAACTAAATTTGATTTTTGTCGAGCCTGCGACTTTTATTGCAGAAAACTCGACATTAGGGATAGTGATCCGGCGGCAGCTTTAACTAACTTCTTAAAAGCTTAATATTTCAGAAGGTAGAAGACCTGGATGATTCATACTTTGTATATAGATGCCTTATGATATGAAGTTTCCGTCTGTCATATGTCCATTGTCCTTGACTTCATTTTCCTTGTTCACTGACTATTTGAAAAAAAAATTAAGATTTTTTGTAATGTTTATTTCTCTCTTATTATGAGTAATAGGATAACTATATTTGTTATGTGCATACCTTGCGAGGTCCTCATGCCTGTCAGACAGTTTCCACTTGACCTCGACCTCATTTCATGGATCAGTGAACAAGGTAAAGTTTTCGTGGTCAAGTCCATATCTCGGATACTATAAGCAATAGGTCTACTATATTTGGTGTATGTAATGACTGTAAGGTGTACATGTCCAACTGTCTGGTGTCATCTGACCTTGACCTCATTTTCATGGTCCAGTGGTTAATATTAAGTTTTTTGAGTTTTGGTCTGTTTTTCTAATACTGTATGCAATAGGTCAACTATATTTGGTGTATGGAAATATTTTACGATGTACATGTCAGTCTGGCAGGTTTTAATTGACCTTTACCTCATTTTGATGGTTCATTGCTCAATGTTTAGTTTTTGTCGAGCCTGCGACTTTAGTCGCAGAAAGCTTGACATAGGGATAGTGATCCGGTGGCGGCATTAGCTAACTTCTTAAAAGCTTTATATTTTAGAAGGTGGAAGGTCTGGATGCTTCATACTTTGTATATGGATGCCTCATGTTACGAAGTTTCCGTCAGTCACATGTCCAATGTCCTTGACCTCATTTTCATGGTTGAGTGACTACTTGAAAAAAAAGTTAAGATTTTTTGTAATGTTAAATTCTCTCTTATTATAAGTAATAGGATAACTATATTTGGTATGTGCATACTTTGCAAGGTCCTCATGCCTGTCAGACAGTTTTCACTTGACCTCGACTTCATTTCATGGATCAGTGAACAAGGTTAAGTTTTGGTGGTCAAGTCCATATCTCAGATACTACAAGCAATAGGTCTAGTATATTTGGTGTATGGAAGGACTGTAAGGTGTACATGTCCAACTGGCAGGTGTCATCTGACCTTGACCTCATTTTCATGGTTCAGTGGTTATAGTTAAGTTTTTGTGTTTTGGTCTGTTTTTCTTATACTATATGCAATAGGTCTACTATATTTGGTGTATGAAATGATTGTAAGGTGTACATGTCTAGCTGGCAGGTGTCATCTGACCTTGACCTCATTTTCATGGTTCAGTGGTCAAAGTTAAGTTTTTGAGTTTTGGTCTTATTTTCTAATACTATATTCAATAGTTCAACTATATTTGGTGTATGGAAATATTTTATGATTTATGGTCAGTCACGCAGGTTTTTTTTTAACTTGACCTCATTTTCAAGGTTCATTGCTCAGTGTTAAGTTTTTGTGTTTTGGTCTGTTTTTCTTAAACTGACTAAAACTATAAGCAGTAGGTCAACCGTATTTGTTGTATGGAAGAATTGTTAGCTGTACATGCCTGCCTAGCATGGTTCATCTGACCTTGACCTCATTTTCATGGTTCATTGTTCAATGTTTAGTTTACTTGGTTAATGTTAAGTTTATGTGACAGTTGTAATAAAGCTTTATGTTTAGGACTATCAACATAATATCAATGATTAGTAAAGAAGGCGAGACATTTCAGCATGTGCACTCTTGTTTTGTTTTGGTCTGTTTTTCTAATACTGTATGCAATTGGTCAACTGTATTTGGTGTATGGAAATATTTTACGATGTACATGTCAGTCTGGCAGGTTTTATTTGACCTTCACCTCATTTTCATGGTTCATTGGTCAATGTTCAGTTTTCCTGGCTAACTTTGTTTCTTAGATACTATAAGCAATATGTCAACTATATTTGATGCATGGAATGATTTTAAGGTGTACATGTCTGTCATCTGTCTGGCAGGGTTCATCCAACCTTGACCTCATTTTCATGGTTCATTGGTCAATATAAAATTTCCATGGTTTGGTCTGTTTCTTTATACTATAAGCAATAGGTCATCTATATTTGGTGTATGGAATGATTGTATTAAAGGTGTACATGTATTTCCGGCTTGGTTTATCTGACCTTGACCTCATTTTCTTTGATCATAAATGTTAGTGTGACACTTGTGGTAAAACTTTATATTTAGGACTATCAGCATAAAATCAATGGTCAGTATAGTAGGCGAGACATTTCAGCGTGGGCACTCTTGTTAAACTATTTAACCAAAATTAATAGTGGTATTGAGGTGGAAGAAAACTTGTTAAAAAGTGTACTATAGTGTAACATAGATATAAAACAACCACTGGAAGAATTCCAGGTTCTCCTGATAGAGGAGGGATTTACAGAAGGTAACCAGTAATTCGACCCGGAACTTGTTAATTATTGGTACATTGTAATATTAACTATGTGGAAAGCAAAAGGGCGGGAATGGTGTAATTTTTAATCAACACCATTGTCCTGTATTAGTTGTATATAAAGTTGAATTCTTTGATTCGTTGTTTCTAGGTCATGTTGGCTAACAAATTGGACCTCATTATTTTAGTACATTGTACCGGGTAGTATAGATTGTTAGCTTTGGATATATTATGGAGAAAATGCTTTTGCTGATCATTTCTTAATATTTCCCCACCAAATAATGCCTATATATCAAAAGACCATGGCGATATTCCTGATTATAAGTTTATCAAATATCATATAAATTGATTGATTGATTGTTGGTGTTTAACACCACTTTCAGCACTATTGGCTCTATTACGGCAACCTGTTGTTTTGGTGGAGGAAGATGGAGTGCTCTGAGAGAACCACAACCTTTGGAAGGAAAACTGACAATCCTAGTCAATTAAGAAAAATATAAAAAAAATATTTTACAATTCTGGTATGAAAGTTCACAGGTTATTGCTGTCTGGGCCAAACTTTTGAGATCTCAATTCAATCTCAATCAATGGAGTAGATTAACAAAAGGTATTTAAAGAACATACAATAAAAATAAGCACAGGAAAAGCACTAACTTAAATAAATAGTATAACAAAAACTCAAGTACTATCACAGCAATAATAAAAAATACCATATCAAAGAATACTGAGGCTGAAGTTACTGACAGTGCTAAACCTGCTTATATCAAATCATTCTATTCTACACTCTATAATCAGTGGCTGTACTTCAGAGTAGACCTGATCCCAAGGGTTAATTAGGGTATAGAAGTACAGTCATCACTTGGTCTTCTTCCTACCTGCAGTAGAACACTTGCAGAAGTGGGATTTCAGTTTGGCTGTGAATTGATGATTGGTGGGTTGGTATAGTATAGAAACAAGACTCCATTTATGTTTGTTGCCAAGTCTTGTTCCAAACAACTCAGAATTTTCTTAGCAGAACCTTGTTAATGTATTTTTATGCCCCCGCCGTAGCGGTGGGGGCATTAAGTTTTACCCTTGTCCGTCTGTACGTACGTACGTACGTCCCAAAATTGGTTTCCGTTCTCTAACTTGAGTTTGCCTCAACCAAATGTTATGAAACTTATACACAAGGCTTATTTTCACAAAACACAGATCAAGTTTGAATTTTGGTGGTGTCACTTTAACCGTTCTAGAGTTATGCCCCTTTATAAATGGAAAAATTGCAAAATTTTTAGTTTCCGTCCTCTAACTTAAGTTTGCCTCAACCAAATGTTATGAAACTTATACACAAGGCTTATTACCACAAAACACAGATCAGGTATGAATTTTGGTGGCGTCACTTTAACTGTTCTAGAGTTATGCCCCTTTATAAATGGAAAAATTGCAAAATTTTTAGTTTCCGTTCTCTAACTTAAGTTTGCCTCAACCAAATGTTATGAAACTTATACACAATGCTTATTACCACAAAACACAGATCAAGTTTGAATTTTGGTGGCGTCACTATAACCGTTCTAGAGTTATGCCCTTTATAAATGGAAAAAATTGCAAAATTTTTATTTTCTTCTAAATATCAAGTTATTTTTAAAATTGGAGTTATCTTCCTTTGTCCATGATTATAGTTGAATCAACTACAATGAATGCTTTATACAATGCAATGTTTAATTTTGACTTCCACTGATAAAACACAGATCAAGTTGAATTTTGGTAGTGTCACTTTAACCATTATTGAGTTATGCCCCTTTATAAATAGAAAAATTGCTGAATTTTTAGTTTCTGTTCTCTACTTAAGTTAGCCTCAACCAAATGTTATGAGACTTACACACAAAACTCAGATCAAGTTCAAATTTGGGTAGCGTCACTTTTACTGTTTTTCAGTTATGTCCCTTTATAACTATATGATATGCAAGCAGGGGCATCATCTGTGTCCACATGTGGACACTATCCACATTTATTCTGTACTATCACATGTAAATTTATGTTCAGTTCTTCATGATGAAATTTAAATGGGAAAAATCTACACAGCACCAGTTTGAATTTGTCAGCCTTACTACTAGTATTCAGTAATTTTGAAAAAAATTGGATGAGGAATGACCAGATGGACTAAATTTGAAAGTACAACGCTGTAGTATAAACATATAATTCATTTGGTCCCAATACATTGTACTTTAAAATAATATGAAGATTGACAGTTCATATAAAAATGAGATGTGGTATGATTTGCCTATGAGACAATTATCCACCAAATAACATGGATATAGGCAACTGTAGGTTGTTATACAATCTTCAACAATGAGCAAAACCCATACTGGTAGTCAGCTATAAATGACTCTAACACGACAATGTGGAACTATTCAAACAAGAAAACCACATGCTCAGATATGTGGAACTGTACCTTAAACAAATTTGTAAGGGGTTACCCAGAACCCTGTGTCTCACCTACGATTACTGCTGTCAGTGAAAAAGTGTAATGTTGACTTAAAAAGGGAGTCCATTTATCAGTAAAATACAGAATTTAAAAAAAAATTCAAACTTTTTATCTAAATGCTATTTCTTGGTCTTGGAGATTAGCTTCTGTCCAAGTTTCATATCAATTCATGAAGGTTTACAAACTTATCATGTAAACAAAATTTAATCCCAGACTGTCTGTAAATGTTAACTGTAAAAAACTAATTATTCCATCTATCAGAAAAATACTGAAAATGAAAATATATTTTCAAAACTTTGCATCAGACATTATCTCTTTATCATAAAAAAGCTTCTGCTAAAGTTTCATAAAATTCTATGAAGGTTTGACAAAGTATTTGATGTGTAACAAACTTTAACCCCAGACTATATCTACTTGTTAACTTTGAAATAAACTAAGTTCATTTAACATTAAAATATGGAAAAATGAAAATAAATATTTTCAAAGTTTTGCTCTGGATACTGTATTTTGATCATAAACAAACTTTTGTCCAAATTTCATAAAATTCCATGAAGGTTTGACAAAGTTATTGATGACTGAACAACTTTAACCTCAGACTGAATCTGAATGTTAACTGTAAAAAAAAAATTAAGTTCATTTATCAGTAAAATACGGAAAAATGAACATAAATGTTTTCCAAATTTTGCTCTTAATATTGTATTTTGGTCATAAACAAGCTTCTGTCCAAATTTCATAAAATTCCATGAAGGTTTGAAAAAGTTATTGATGTCTAAAAAAACTTTAACCACAGACTGAACCTAAATGTTGACGCTGCATATTCACCAGTTTAATCCCATGTTGTGATTTCCTTCATTATATAAGGTCCCATTTCTGATAATCAAATTTTGATAAGATTGAACTGTAAGTCAGGTTTTTTTTTTTGAAATCAAACAAGACATTTTAAAATGCATTATTTAGGCAGCAGGAATAGTTACAGTATTATTGTCCCCTTCAATCCAAAAAGTTCCCCATTTTTATACTTAGAATGAAATTTTTGAAATTCTTCTAAATGTGAAGGGGATCTTACATAAAACAAAAGATGACATGATTTCCTGTGAGCACAACATGTTTGTGACATAACATTCATTAAGTTTGCTTAAGACCAAAAAAGCAATAATACTCAAAATGCAAACACAGGACAGCCAAATTAATCTAAGATCAACTTTGCTTGAGGGAGTTCCAAGCTTAGCTTAAAGCACAAGTATGTATTCCATTACTATAGTTTCTCTGATAATCATACTCATCTAAAAGTAAAATTGCATTTAAATAAGGAGATCTAATATGAAATAAATTGCTAAACAGGTCCAACCCTGAACAGTTGTGGCAAAAATGGACACAATATTCACGCTCGATACAGGTCTGAATTTGGATTGTAATTGAATATTTGACACATAATAGGTTTCTGACACAGAATAACTGTAGTCAAAGAACTTAGAATTGGTTATATGATTTGAACTTATATTCATTTTTTTGCTTTTGTGCAATACACTGTGCCTGTGCGAATTGACCCCCCTCCTCCCCCCTAAAAAAATAAATAAAAATTAACCCATTTTTTATTGCTTTTGTGCAATACACTATGCTGTTGTGTATTGGAACCCCCCCCCCCCCCCAACCAAAAAAATATGTGAAGAAATTCAAATTTGGTCATAATCTCAATTCAAATTACCAATGGAGTTTGCAACCATAATTACCCATTTAAATACATCATAAAAGTCTTAAATAGATAATTTAAAAGCAGTGTGAGGGAGGTAATCCAACATTGTACAATTTTGTTTTTGAATTACCTCCCTTACACTGCTTTTAAATTGTCCATTAACCAGGAAACCCTTGTTTTTCCACCTTTTTTGCCTCTAATTCCTAAACGGTTTGAGCCATAACCCCCCAAAGCCAATCCTAACCATCCCTTTGTGGTATGGAAACTTGTGGTATAATTTCAGAGAAATCCATACACTTAAACACAAGTTATTGTCTGGAAACTATGTGCTATTTTTAACCATGTCTGCCATGTTGATTACCAGGTGGGGTCATCTGACACATTTTTTTAAACCAGACACCCCAATGATGATTGTGGCCTAGTTTGGTTAAATTTGGCCTAGCAGTTTCCAAGGTGAAGACTTTTGTAAAAGTTAACAGAAGAAGATAATGACAAACGATATGACAGACGCCAAATGATGAGAAAAGCTTTCAAGGACAGTATTGACAATACCAGGTCCCAGATCAGAGTAGACTTTCATTATTTTAATCACACTTTAATTACAAACTGTAAGTTCATAAAACATCTAATAATTTTAAAAGTGAAACTTGTATCCCATCATAAGAATCTTGTTTTGCAGGGCAAAATCATAATAGTGCCAGGGTCTCTCTCAAAATGATTGACTGATAAAATATTTACATAAAAGGTCATATAAATATGACTCCTCAGATCTTAAATGAGCGACAAACAAATCAACAATTCCAGCAAATATCAAAGTGTTTGTTCAGTGCTTCTTTGACCATTTTAATTCTTATATAATAACAATGCCATATGAAACCTTTAAACATTTATATAGTCAGTATATATTATATGCATAGCATCATTTTCAAACATTAGAACTAGTCAAATAAAACAAAAGATAAGAAAAAATGTATAACAATTACATGTATTGCATCATAGTAAAATCTCAAATCATTGTGAAAAAAAACAATACAATAACAAATATTTCAAATACATATCAATTTGATGGTGGAGGTCGCCATAAAATAAGAAGAGGTGTTTTAGTACTGGTGTTTTGTGGCATAACCAATGGACTATGGAATCTTAAACTTGTGGTGCTCTGTCCTTTCAACCTGTTGCTGGAAACTGTTTTCTGCTGATTTATTGCCAGTCGGAACTGAGAATGATTAGTTGATCCTTTTGGAAGAATGAGTTTGGGTTTTTCGATTATTTTGTTTTGAAGAACAGGCCCTGCTTCATTTTGATCATTGTAACTGTCATTTGTTTGTAATAAACTTTTCTGTTTGGGTATAATACAAGAACTGCTGGACACTGGTAGTTTCTCAATTTGTTCTGACTGACCATGAGACATATTGCTGTAGTTATGATCAGACTGACCATAAAACAAATGACTGTAGCTATGCTCTGACTGAACATAAATTCCTGTATTTTGCTTTGGTTTTTCAACTTTTTTCTCTTTAAGAACAGGTAATGGGTCTGTGTTGATAATATCACTGCCATTGGATTGTAAAAGGCTGTTTTGTTTAGGAAAACTTAAATCAGTACTGGACCGAGGTAGTTTGTTATTTTGTTCTGTTTGAACACGAATCAACTGATTGTTCTTAGCATGTTCTGACTGAACATATATCTCAGCATTTTTTTTCTCACCAGAATTCTTGTTTATGTTCTCATGATCTCTTAATGTGTTGGATGCCTGATTTATAATATTCAGTGGTGCATATTTGAAGTTTGCAATACAAATACCTTGGACAGGTTTCTCAGCAGAAGACTTTATAGGTTTAAATTTGGAATCTGTAATTGCTTTGACGGCAGCCAAAATATCAGTATTTACCACACACTTTGACATTTTACTGTTGGTAGATTTAGTTTGCTTCTTTTTTTTCTTTCTTGAAACAGATTTTTGAGTTGAAAGGTCTGTTTTACATTCTGATTTCATTAACCTATTCAATGACCTCCGACGAACAGCTGTAGTTGCATTTTTGCTGTGAACTGATTTCATATGATGGCGAAGTGCTTCAATACGTGTAAAACTTCTACCACAAAAACATTTCTTGTGATTTTCGATTGAATGTGCCTTGATGTGACGATGAAGCGCATTTCTGGACTTAAAAGTTGATGAACATAAATTGCAGCAAAAATCCCTTGCGTCACTATGTTTATATGCAATATGTGATTGGAGAATTTGAAGAGAATGGAAAGCTGCTCCACATGATTCACAGACAAATCTTCGTTCTGATTCAAAGTGTTGAGATGTGTGTCTCTTTAACGTATAACTGAAACAACACTTAAAATCACAGTGCTTACATGAATATTTCTTTTCTGTTTTGTGATATTTCATGTGTGTAGCTAAATAATCCTTTCTGAAAAAAGTAAACATAACAAAGGATTAAATTAAATGTATAAAGATATAATTAAAATATAATGATTAGTTATACAATTTATTATGGTATATATAGGAGGGTATAGGTGGAGTTTACAGAATAGAGAATAATGGGCCCAAAAAATAAAACAATAGAGAAAAATGGGCCAAAAAATAAAGAATAGAGAATAATAGGGTGCTAAAACATAAAGAGTAGAGAATAATGGATAAAAAATATAAGGAATAGAGAAAAATGACCTAAAAAATTAAAGAATACAGAAAAGGACATCCCCCACCAATCTAGACCCTCATATACGCCTATACGGTATTATATTCTAACAAAATGACTTAATATATGTAATGTAGATGGATCGACGTAATGTAAAAAGCAAAACAAGAGGCTCCAAAGAGCATGAATTGCTCATCTGTTAAAAATATGCCTTTTGTAGATCTTGTATTGCTGATCATTTTTACTGCTGACAGTTTCTACCGATCTATTATAATGGTCTAGATAATAGGCAAAACCAAGAAAATTAGTAAAATACTGTCATTTAAGGTAGATCGGTTGTCAGGAAGAAAATTATGTGATTTATCGTACTATTAATTAGATATAAGAAGATGTGGTATGAGTGCCAATGAGACAACTCTCCATCCAAGTCAAAATTTATAAAAGTAAACCATTAAAGGTCACATTACAGTCTTCAACACGGAGCCTTGGTTCACACCGAACAGTAAGCTATAAAGGGCCCCAAAACATTACTAGTGTAAAACCATTCAAAAGGGAAAACCAACGGTCTAATCTATATAAAAAACGAGAAACGAGAAACACTTAGGGACCACATCAACAAACGACAACTACTGAACATCAGATTCCTGACTTAGGACAGGTGCAAACAAATGCAGCGGGTTTAAACGTTTTAATGGTACCAAACCTTCACCCTTTTTCTGAAACAATAGTGTAACATCACAACATAGAAAGACACACTATAAAATATCAACTGAAATAGCTTAACTCAATCAAAGGACATATTAACACCATTGAACATACACTGAACAAATAAATTTGACCTATGACACAATGTAAATACAAAATAAATAAACTAAGGGAAGAATAATAAAAGTAACATGTTATATCGGTAAGAAATGTTAAACAATTAAAGAAAAACAATATGCTCGAACAAAAATATCAGACATTTGCAATAACTTTAAACACAGGTAAATGAAAATAATTTTGTTGTTAGGTATACGTGTACAGTACCAATAGAGTAAGGAAATATTTTTACAAAATAAATAATTTTGATGTTCATAGTACGAAGTGAAAATTTATAGTTATACCAAACACTTATCAAAGCTGGTATATAGACCAGATATAGCCCTGAATAACATTAAATAACAAAAAAGCAATACAATTAGTATCAACAGGTCAAATAAACAAGAAAGTACGATTTGAGAGTACTCGCAGTTACTGACAGCTAGTTAAAAGCCAAAACAATTAATAATAAAAAATCATGCATCAGAGACTATTAAGACTGTTTCTACTAATGGTCCGAGGACACAGTTATCGTCCTTTGATTTTCGTTGTCTACAAATATAGTCCTTAGTTTGGACAGTGTATAACTTGTAAATTTTTTTCATTCACTTTCAAAATTTATTTCTTTATATTTTATGCATGAAATATTAAGTAGGGGGATGAAATTACATGTAAAAAAATTGTGGTGATGAATTTTTATTATAAAGTAGTGATTTTTAAAAAGGTAAAAAAATAGTATGTCTGAAGCTGTCAAACTGAATTAAAGACCCCCTTAAGATAGAATTGTCCATATTTTGAGTTAGAGCTGGTAGACTTTTCTATAATTTTAATATTATTTGTCCCAAAAGTAGTACACTAAACTTTAAAAATCTTTTTGAGATAAAGCAGGTGCAATTTTTTTAATCTAAATTTATTGTCTAAAAGAAATACTATACGAAATAACTGTGTTCTCTGGCCTATTTAAATACTGAATATCTTTTTCTTTGAATCATTTTTTTAAATACTGATTTAGTATGTGTACATCAGTTATCTTTCTATTTTCATTGCATTCTGAAACCACAAATGTTTAATCTATCATTTTGTCTGTAAATATTATATATGAATTTCTTAATTTCAATGAATGAATACTTATTCAGAGTTATCATTAAGCTTGTTAAATCCTAACAAGGGAAATACCAATGTTAACATGATAAATCACTGTAATAAATGTATTAACAAGGGAAATACCAATGTTAACATGATAAATTGCTGTAATAAATGTATTAACAAGGGAAATACCAATGTTAACATGATAAATTGCTGTAATAAATGTATTAACAAGGGAAATACCAATGTTACCATGATAAATCACTGTAATAAATGTATTAACAAGGGAAATACCAATGTTACCATGATAAATCACTGTAATAAATGTATTAACAAGGGAAATACCAATATCAACATGATAAATCGCTGTAATAAATGTATTAACAAGGGAAATACCAATGTAAACATGATAAATCACTGTAATAAATGTATTAAATCTTTCTGTCATAGTTTTACATTTTTCAGGGGTTTTGTTTTAAAAAAATTATGGATTTTAAAACTGGTAAAAAAAAAAAGGTTTCAAGTCTTATTGTTTAGAACAATTTTCAGAAAACTTCTATGAAAATCAATGTGATCTGAGAGCACTAGTGGAAAGATTGGAAGAATTGTTTGCATAATTTCATTCATATGTTTCTCTTCCAATGAGGTGATGGAAGGCAAGAAAAACTTGCTTTAGCACTATTGCATATTTGTTATTTGCATTACTGTAGATTTTTAGAAAGACTAGAGGCTCCAAGGAGCCTGTGTCGCTCACCTGATATTTTTGTTTACAATTGATGCATGAAATAATGCAACCATTATACTTTTACTTTAGTTTCAGAGATATAAACCAAAAACTGCATTTTACCCCTATGTTCTATTTTTAGCCATCTCAGCCATGTTGGTTGGCAGGCGGGGTCATCAGACACATTTTTTAAACTCGATACCCTAATGATGATTGTGGCCTTTGTCTCAGTAGTTTCAGAGGAGAATATTTTTGTAAAAGATTACAAAAATTGTTAATAAACTGTTAACACAGAGATATGTCTCGCCTATTTGTTATTTTGATAATGCAAATGTTGAAATTAAAATAGCAATACTTTAACACGTAAGTTATGCAAATATTCAAAGTCAATGAACCATGACTGAAGGTACAGGGCTAATCAATCTCCATGGAAATGAGAGGTACAGGGCTAATCAATCTCCATGGAAATGAGAGGTACAGGGCTAATCAATCTCCATGGAAATGAGATGTGCCAATGCTAATACAACTGCAAACCAAATACCATTGACTTTTCATAAGTCGTTCCCTTTAAACAAACCTAAACACAAACATTAACTTGTAAACTATGTAAAAGTTTCAAAGTCAATGAACCATAATTCATGTAATTAGGGGGTGGGTTATATAATCTCCATGGAAATGAAACTTGCAAACGCCAATACATTTGCATACCGAATATCATTGACTTAACATAAGTGGTTCATCTTATTTACAATGACAAAGAAAAAACCTGTGGCTTATTTAACGAATTTAACGGGTAATGAGATGTGCCAATGTTAATACAACTGCATACCGAATATCATTGACCTACCACTAGTGCTTCCCCATAAACTGACCTAATCACAAACTAATACATGTAAACTAAGCAAAGTTTCAAAGTCAATAGACCTTGACTGAGGGGCGGGGCCAAATAATCTCCATGGTAATGAGATGTGCCAATGCTAATACAACTGCATACCAAATATCATTGACCTACCACTAGTGGTTCACCATGAACTAGACCTAATCACAAACTAATACATTGTTGACGCTGCCGCTGCCAACGCCGGAAACAGCATACCTATGTCTTGCTTTTTGACTCCGTCAAGGCGAGACAAAAATTGATTTTAAAGGGCAATAACTCCTTAAGGGGTCAATTGACAATTTTGGTCATGTTGACTTATGTGTAGATCTTACTTTGCGGAACATTATTGCTGCTTACAGTTTATCTCTATCTATAATAATATTCAAGATAATAACCAAAAACTGCAAAATTTCCTAAAAATTAACAATTCAGGGGCAGCAACCCAACAATGGGTTTTCTGATTAGTCTGAAAATTTCAGGGCAGATAGATCTTGACCTGATGAACAATTTTACCCCCAAGTCAGATTTGCTCGTAATGCTTTGGTTTCAGAGATATACCGGTAAGCCAAAATCTACATTTTACCCCTATGTTCTATTTTTAGCCATGGCGGCCATCTTGGTTGGCGGGCTGGGTCATCGGACAATAATGATTGTGGCCAAGTTTGGTTAAATTTGGCCCAGTAGTTTCAGAGGAGAAGATTTTTGTAAAAGTTAACGGACGACGACGGACCAGGTGAGCTAATAAGCAGTAGATAAATTGAGCTTCTTTTAAATTGCAACTTAATGACAATGTTTTTATCAAATGGTGTTCAGTTACAAGTATAAAGTTTTACACTTTTTGAAACTGATAAAAAAAATACCTATTAAAAAAGAGCTCTTGAATTTTTACTCATACATAATTTCTTGAAATATACTGTTGACACACAGATATGTCTTGCCTGTATATAATTTTGATAGAAAAAATGCTTTAAAAAGGCAATAAATAGGCTACGATTTAGACAAAAAATTCAAATATGATTCTTTTTGTTTCAAGTATTAATAAAAGTGGAATTTGGAAATAATATTTCGTTAAAGCTTGGCCCAAATTTGTCAAAATCAGCTCAAAAACATCGCTGATGTATTATTGACTTGCAAGTCAATAATTTAACTTCATTGAATCCCTATTCATTTGACCTTTAATTTAACCTTTAGAGATTGGTTATGCATGTACTAGGTGTGTTCAGCTATTAAATGAAAAGAATGTCAACATTGAAAGTGAAACAAGGGTAAACCATTTGGTTGACTGATTCGATCCACATAAAATCAGTCTTATACAGGTAAAAACATTAACATATTTTTTTAACCTATAATAAGAAATCAAACAGACCTAGAAAAATCCAATAGCACATACCCTCTTATCTATTTCTATTTAAGTTTATATCGAGTTAAATGACTGTCAGCAGTCTTTGGAGGTCATCTCGATGGTTAATTAGATGGCTTCTATACTAAAATACACACGAAATGCTGATACATATTATTGAGTCCATGCATTGCTAATTTTTTATTTTAGACTTTTTGTGATTTGGATAAACGTTTTAGTATGCTAAAAATCAAATATGAAAATTTGAGTCAAATAGGTGAACATGAATTTGAAAGCTAATGCCCCTTTAAAATGCAAAATATTCAACGTCAATGAACCATAACTGAAGGTTCAAGGCCAAAAAAAATTCTTGTAAATAAGGTATGCAAATGTTAATATGACTGCACAACATTGCACATCATTGACTTATCATAAATGGTTCACCTTATAAACTGACCTAATAACAATCTTTAACATGTACACTATGCAAAAGTTTCAAAGTCAATAGACAAAGACTGAGGGGACAGGGCTAAAAAATACCCATGGAAATGAGATGTGCCAATGCTTATATAACTGCATACCAAATATCATCGATTTACCTTCAGTAGTTCTTAAAAGGACCTAATCACAAACTTTAACAAACTGTTGATGCCACTGCCACTGACGGTGGAAACAGCATACCTAAGTCTTGCTTTTTGACTCTGTCATGTGAAGTGAATTGACACTGTAATTGGAGAGATCTCTCCCAATTTGTTGAGCTTGAGGAATATCCAAGTTTCCTTGTGTGACACCAAGAAATAACTTGATGTTGGGAGTATGGAAATCTATCCTCTTCACTAGTACTTTAACGTAAATGGAAAACAAAAGCAATTCTTTTCCATTGTTAAACCACAATTCGTATTGTGACCTTTTTGTGGAATATGTAGTCCTGGACTGGTACCTGAAATGGATATAATTTTAAACCTGGTCTTACCTACCTATAAAATGATTTTCCACAATCTGAACACAAAAAATTCCTTTCTAATGTAAATTTCTTTCCACTTTTTACATGGTGTGCATAACTTCTTTCATGCATTTTTAAATTGAGTTTTGTTCTGAAGACCTGTTGGCATGGTTTACAACTTATTGGTCCTTCTGTAAAATAAATGGATGCAGATATTATATTTTCACAAAGTGAGGTACACATCTTTAATGTTCATAACAAATATTCCCTCAAGTTTATAGGCCCTGGGTTGAAAACTGAAAAAGAAGTTGATTATACAAAATAAATGCATTTGTTCTATCTCCTCTCTGACTACCTAGTATGCACCATACTATAAAAAAAAAGTAAAATAACATAAAATACCGAACTCCAAGGAAAATTCAAATCGGAAAGTCCCTTAACAAATGGCAAAATCAAAAGCTCAAACACATCAAAAGAATGGAAAACAACTGTCATATAACCATGTGGTTATCATATTGACAGGAAAAATAAAAGCTCATTCCATATTTATCACATTTGAAGTTAAAAATGCTATGACTTGATATCATGTGTTTCTTATGAGCCTTTCCACTTTCAAAGGTCAAGATTATATAAAAAGATAATTTGTACTTCATGCAACATGGCAAAAATATAATTACTATGCATTTTGATCTGTTTTCTAAGTCAATAGCTCATTTAATGTAATTTATGTATTTTTCTTGTTGTTGCCACAAGTTTGTATTGCAGTTTTCAAATTTTTTTATTCCAGTTTTCTTTTGGTTGCTGTGATACCGTTGAATATTTCAAAAACAGTACTACATAGTACCATTGGCAGATCCGGGGGGGTGTTCTGGGGTTTGGAATCCCCCGCCCTTTTTTTTATTTATTAATTTTTTCTTTTAAATTACATGTATGTGAACCTTTCATGGTGTTCAGGGGGGGTTGGAACCCCCCTTTTCAAACTGGCTAGATCTGCGCCTGAGTACATAATACTAATGTATATATTTACCTGCATGAATTTTTTTGTGGTGGGTATATAACCTGCTGGGTATGTCAAAGGATTGATCACATAATTTACAAGTGTTATTAATTTTCATCAAATCAACTTTTGAGACATTTATGGCATGCTGATCTTGGCAGTGATCAGAATATTCAGTGAATGAGTGAAACAACTTTTCACAAGTATTGCAATTATATTCCTGGTGAGATTCCATATGGTTATTATACTGACGGGAAAAATAAAAGCTCATTCCACATTTATCACATTTGAAGTTAAAAATGCTATGACTCAATTTCATGTGTTCTTTATGAGCCTTTCCACTTTCAAAGGACAAGTCACATTTTTTACAGATGTGGATTATGTTTCGACGACGAGTTCTCTTTTTTGAAGATGGGTCCTTTTCATCTTTTGTCTTTATTTTTCTTTTCTTTTTTAAACCTTTCATTTTTGACTGAGACTGCAGACATTCTTCTTCAATCACAATTTCACTTCCCACCATGCTGTAGTCATCACTGTGGTCAACATGGTCAATACAGCTATATGGTTTCTCACAAGTAAATTTATTGTGGGCTCTATTGTAGTCCTGGTTTACCAATGTTCTAAAGGCTTCTGTATTTATTGTTTCAAAACCTATATTAACATTATTAACAGTACATGCAGTAGTGGTGGATTCTTCATCTCTGACAATTTTTTCATAAATTTCCTTGTTTATTGACTCGGCAATAAACTTATTTGTAGATTGGCTGTTTATTATTGATGTATTCGATTTACACATTTCGTTGCTGACAATAGCAGCTTCATATGTTATATCCTCTTGAACAGCCCTATAAATATTGGATATTTGGTCTAAATTATGTGTTGAATCTACCAATGGAATAGATACATGTAGCTTAGATGATGCTCCAATAGAACTTGGGGATGTTTCGGCTGATAAAGTTTTCAAACATCTTGTTTGGAAGGACAGCAACAAATTGAAACCTTTTTCTTTTTCCTCAGCAGTAAAATGACCTTGAAAAATTTCTTCTGCTGACTTCAACTGTGAGAAAAAATCATGAAGTTATTTAAAGATATGTATGCATGTTTGCTTTATTTGTGAAAGTTTCTGTTTAGTAATTTAACAATTCCTGTTCTCAGCCAATCACAGTGTTGGCCAATAAGACAAACACAATAATGGATTATTGGAAATAATTGGAGTAAATATTCAACTGGAGCAGTGTTTACATTGTGAATCGAGACGGTACTGAGTATTTAAGTGTTTTAACAAATAATCTGAAAAATAAAATTCAGTGATATCCAGTAAATACGCAATAATCTTTTAAGATTATCAGTAACATAAAGTTAAAACTGGACTGACAAGTCATAGTATACAAGCATTAACCACCTTGTCAGTTTTGTTGGAATTTTCATTCATCCTCTTGGTGTGTGGACCAAAAAGTGTGGATCAGAAAGTGGCTAATTTAACTTCCCTTCAATGCCCAAAATATGACAATGGAAATTAACCCAAAAAACAAATTTTGTTTGACCTGAAGAACATACTGTTGCCCAAAGGAATAAACTGAGGGTAACATTTTATGTGGCAGGGTCAAAGTAATTATATAAGTAGCTGTTGCCTAAGAACACAGAACATAATTGTGTTGTTATACCTTAGACATAAAAAAAGAAAAAGCATTTGCCAATGTTTTTGAATGTCACATTATTCATGTTATTAGCCTTTAAATTCAAGCATGTAACCAGCTAGTCTGAGATTGCTCAGACATTCTGACTGCCTTTTTAGAACATGTTGGGCCTGTGGGAAGTCAGAGAGCAGTCCATATAGAAAACATTGAAAAATTGTCGACCAAGTCTTGGAGCGGTATTAAAGTTTATGCCATGCAATCGTAATAGATCCATTTTCAAGTGGATAAATTCATTTAAAGCCTCACAAGAGCACAAGTAGACTGAGGGTTACATTGTATGTCATCCAATCTAGTGACCAACAAATCAATGGCAAAATTTTAATAGTCAAACAGCACAAGGTTTTTTGGATTGTAAGGGTAGTTTAGCACTTTTAATGAGCAATAAATTAAATGGCAGCATACATTGTATGAAGCTTTGATAAACAAGAGAGTAATCTATGTTTAAAATGTCATTACAAAAATCTCAGTTAAAAGTCTGTGGGTTTCCCCCAAAAAAAATCCTGGCTTGATTTGCCACATAATCCCCATGCCATTTTCCATTAAATAGAATGAAAAATTAAAATAAATATTATTTCTATGAACAACGTTTCCTAATTTGTACAAAATGGCATGTCTACTTTATGCAGTATCTTCATGATCTTTGCTAGTTTAAAATTATTGCACTTTGAAAATTTCATTATACCATTGCAAAAGGAGTCAATAACCTTAAGCTGAGAAGATTTTTAAAAAGTTACTGCTTTATAATCATTTCTAAAATTAAAACAAAAGGGAATTCTATGTCTTATTTCTTTCGGCCTTTTTCAACTTTCCACATTCATCTTTAATACCAAATGACCCCTGTATTGACCAATGATTTGCTCATATGTCCAGTGGCAAATATATCTCTTGCAAAGTCCGGATGAGAACGAATTTTAAATCAGCCACCTGGAAAGGAAGCTATTCATTTCATACCTTAACCAATTTCGTACTACTGCCATTTTGTACTCTAAATTTGCGATTTCACATCCGCATGATCAAAACCATTTCGATCCATATGGACTGCATATGTCATTTGTACCATATAGACAAACATTATTCAGACAAAGTTGACCTTAGATGGATCTGGCTATTTTTTAGGTCCTTTTTGGTAATATATCCCGCAATGGTGGTAAGTCGTGCACTTAAGGCCATTTTTTATTTTATTTTTCTGTAGACTTAGTTTTGTTTTTTTATTACTGTGTATTGTCAAGCTTGGTTACTCATAATTGTTTCTCAGTCTCTGAATGTACGATGTTGTTCCATACGGGAGCAGCTGACCCGGTTTGTTTACATTCAAATTCTAATGGCTTCAAAACCACGTAAAACATTGAATCGTTATATCCAATCAAATTGCTCTACTGTCAATTAGGTGATTTTTTAGTACAAGGCAATTATATTATTTGTTTGTATGATATTGCTTTGAAATAGTTTGCAATAAATTGGGGGATTATTCAATAGGAAAACTCATTATTAGCCATGAAATTTGACATCAATGGAATTTTATATGAATATTTACTTATGGTCAGAATATCGATCTCTTTATATTAAACCAATTTTTTTTTTTATGAAAAATATATTTATATTGTTTTTTCTTAACCTACTCTATATTCCTGAACAAAAACATGGCATGATTATCGTTTGTTTCCCAAAGTTTTTCTTTCAATTTGGATGTTTTTTTTCGCGGGAAAATCGCGGAAGACCTAAGGTGCTTGCCATTTTGAAATTCTTAAAAATACGATTTGCTTGGCCTGTTTGGTCTGCCATTAAGATTGATGACGCTCAATGGAATGTAAACAAAGCAATGGAGGCCGGAAGAGGGGTTTTCTTAAATTCTGAAATGCTTTTAGGCATTCGGAAGTCAGGTTTGAAATGGCCATTAGAAAATCTGCATTTTTGTACAATACTTAAGAATAATAATGAAAACATATCTTTAGAAATATCATTATATTTAGAAGTGTAGAAAAAATGTATTCTGCACTAATTTTATACGCTGGTATTAGCGTAGTGACGTCAATGCGGAGTTTTCCCATATGATAAGTACAATAACAAAATCCGAACGAACCAACGTCATGACCGATTATAGACTACGGTAGGATAGCTCTTCAACTGTTTCGGTTCTTGTACATCCTTGGCTTTCAAATATTCGTCTTTGAGTGTTCCTGATGAAGGTAAATCCAGAAAAGCACTTCAGACGCATGAAATTTATAACGTGTTCTCCGCCCGACAGTTTTCATTTTTTTTTTAGTATTTGTAAATTGTTGAAGTGTGTACCAACATTAATGGTATTGGTGATTCTGTAAAACCACGGATTTGTATAGTAAGTGTTTCTAAATGTATTTTACACATGCACATGTATTTCTAGTCAATTCAACAAGGTCAACAATGTTATTTAAAGTATAATTCCCTGGTACTGTTAAGTTAAGTTTAGTGTACTGGTGTAATGAAAATGGTATTTCCAGATCCTTGCTAAACATACCTTAACTGAAAATAGTGTGAAATAGATGCTCTGCATTTTAAAACATTTGAATGTCGATATTAGATATAAATAACAAATTGAGGAGAGGTGTTTTTACGTAGGGGGACAGAAACGTACGGTTTTTTTTTAAAGTTTAGACTATGGATTAGGCTCTAGTCAAAAAGTTATCTTATAGGATCATTTGAAATATAACAAAATTTATGACAAAAAACAACAAACAACGCACCACAATGTTCCAAATAAAAAACTAAAAAACCTGTACATACTCACTCAGGTCAGGCTGGGAACAGTATATCCATATATATGTTCCTGGGTCAGGTTACGATGACCTTCCGTCGTTTTAATGGAGAAAAAGCGATCTTTTCAAAACACACTTTTTCAAAACATGATAAAATTTCAGGAATGTGGCCTTGGATGTTGTTTTAAAAGATTAACTTATCAAATGCATGTAGGAGCATTTTGTGTATATTTTGAAAAATTAAGTGTTTATTATTTTATGAGGAAGTGCGAAATAGGGTGATGTGCCGAAACTTGATGACACGTTCGCAACGTTACTGTAGAGTTATGCAGAATGTTGCGGTTTATTCACGTTTCTCCAACATTTGATAATTAGACTAAAACAACATTAAGGATTAGGGGGTCCTCTTAAGGACTGGCATCTTGATATTTACCTGTTATTCACCTGTATCAGTTCTTAACTGAAATATTGTAAAAAGGGGTATGTTTATTAAAACATTAACAAATTATATTTATTTATTTTTTACAATAATTGGTTTATATTTATGGTTGAATATAACCAGAAAAATATGTTATTATTTTTATCCGTGTTTGAATTACAAAATTAAAAAGTTATTCAACAAAAAAATCCATAAATAAATAAGGAAAATTCAAACATTTCTCCTTCAACTGTGAAAATTTCATAAAAATTTATCAAGAAATAATCTCAAAATGATTTAAAAAAAAAGAAGGAATTTTTGTTGAAAATAACATGAAAAATCGAAATGTTCACTGACTCTGGGACATAATATATTAAGTTAGTATAATAGTCCCAGACTGACTGTACCTCATTTTAATAATGTATTCTATTACTTGATACCAAAGAAATGAGGATACCGAACTTAAGGTCCGTGGCTTCATCTTTAACGAACTCCGAATAAGTGACCACATCCAATTTGGAAATGTCCACAGATTCGGCAAGAGGGATAGAACTGGACATCGGCCGATCGAAGCGATATTTATTGCTAGGCGAGATCTTGAGTTGGTGCTAAAAAAACTCCTACCGGCTAAGGCGACTAAGGCGCTATTTTGCCTTTACAGGAAATTGAGAAATATCTCTTTACCAATAAAATTACAACTAAGACTTTTTGATACCCTAATACTGCTAGTTCTTATCTACGGCTGTGAGGTGTGGGGTTTTGAAAACACATACATTTTAGAAAAGATACACTAACAGTTTTGTAGAAATATCCTAGGTGTTAGAACAACAACTCCAAATTTCATGATTTATGGTGAGCTTGGTCGATGTCCGATCGATATCATAATTAAACTTAGAATAGTTAATTTTTGGAACCGAATTATTTGCAAATTCCCATAATCGTCAACTTTCTTCCATTTTGTAATCTACAATGTTAAAATTGAACGAATCCGGACTGCATAAGTTTAAATGGATTGAACATGTTAAAGCCATATTTGACAATACTGGATTTAGTTTTATATGGAATCTGAAATCGAAGATAGATCCAATTCAGATAAAAACGAATATTAAGCAAAGATTAACAGATGAATTCATCCAACAATGGCACAGTCAAATCCAAAACTCATCGAGGGGGGGGGGGATATTATGGTCTTTTCAAAATCGACTTTGGCTTAGAAAAATATTTAATAAGACTCTCATTTGAAGATCGTAAAAATATTACTAAACTGCGATGCTGCAACCTTAAAAGGTAAATAGAAATAGGAAGATGGAATGGAATTCCTAGAGATGAAAGACGGTGTCATCTCTGCTCCTTGTCAATTGGAAATAAATTTCACTATCTATTTGAGTGCAAGTCTGTTATTGTTAAACATATAAGAAATAAGCATATTTCAGAATATTACCACAGGTATCCATGTGTCGAAAAAATGAAAGGGCTGCTTTCATTTTCCAATATTAAAGTTTAATATGAAGAACTTATCACTTTTCATTAACAAATTAGTTAAAATATTGTAATTATGCTCTCTTTAATATAAATATATGATTATGTTAACATTGTTCTGTAGCAACCATAAATATTATTATGTATTTTGCCTTTTGTTACAGATGTATATGTGTCTGAGTGTTTCAACAAAAAGTATTATTAAGTGTCAGATATGTTTTTGTATTTGTATTATATGTAGATATCCAAATCTAAAACGATGCCCAACAACGAAGTTTTATGTACGTATATAGTCATCGAAAGCTGTTGTCTTCTAGTGCGAAGAACCATATAATATTGTCTACCTGGTCGTTCTGTCTGTATATCATAAGAGCCGAAGTCAATGTTCTTGGCATGCTGTCTTAAGCAGATGGAATAGTCAGTCGTATATCTGTTCACTTTTTCCACGAAAAAGGGAGAATACAAATTGGGTACATCACGACGTGAACTATAGAATGTTTAACTGTGGTAACTGGCTTGTTGAATTGTGAGTTACAAGTATTCTCGATTTGACACATAAGCTTTGGACAATTAATGCAAGCTGACCAAGAAATTTAAATATACTATATATTTGATAATAAGCAGCGTTTGATACTTTTATAAACGTTTAATGACTCAAGCTATTATAAATACTTAAAAGCTCTCAGAATATTAAATGTTTATTTTTATTCAAGATCGCAACATTGTAATCAACAATACATTATTATGGAAAATTGAGAAAAAAAATATTAAAACAAAATTAAATTTAAATTTTCATCACTGTGCTAGATTATATCGACTTTTAAAATCTTGGGAAACTATTATTTTTACAAATATGAAAAACCAATTATTGTAAAAAAAAAAATATGTTTTGTTGATATTTTACAATAAATCTTTTAAAAACACCCCTTTTAACAATATTTTATAGTTAAGAACTGAAACAGGTGAATTAATTACATAATCCTTAATGTTGTTTTAGTCTGATTATCAAATGTTGGAGAAACGTGAACACACCAATGTTGCACAGGGTTTTTAGTATATGTAAGAGAATGTTATTGTTGCAGTTTAAATCTTCTTAAATTGCATGGTATGTAGGTTAATCAAGATAATATTGTAACAATAACGAACAACACCAATTAATTACTGGAATAATAGATACATGTGAAAAATGGACGTAAACAAGTAAATGATTTATAACCGTTAATAAAAACAACAAAAGAAAAACAAAGAAAACAACTTAATTAATTTGGTGTTCGTTATACATGTATTATATATATAATGGTACTGATTTTGCTCATAATGGGTCCTCTATTGGAAATAAAATTTATCTTTATTTTTATATAAGTTGGGTGCTTTAACTTAAGTGGGTTTGAATATACTTTCTCTTCTTTCTACTTTTTATACGCCCATTTACGGGACGTATTATGGTATACCGTTGTCCATCCGTCCGTCTGTCCGTCCGTCGTCCAAATGTCGGACCATAACTCAAAAACGCTTTAACCAATTTTCATGAAACTTTGGTGAATTGTTTATATTTATTGACGTAAGCTCACTTTCGATTTTTATAAATTTTAGAATTTACGTTTCCGAGTTGTAGGATTTTATTCATAAAAAATGGGGGATTTTCCAGTTTTCTGACAAACTAAAAAATACTTTGAACAATTTTCATGAAACTTTGATGAATTGTTTATATATATTGACATAAGTTCCCTTTCGATTTTTAAAAAATTCTGATTTTATATTTTTGAGTATTGGGACTTTATAAAAAAAAAATCGGGGATTTTCCAGTTTTCGGACAATAACTCAAAAATGCTTTAAGCAGTTTTCATGAAACTTTGGTGACTGGTTTATCCCTATTAATATAAGCACCTCTTTAGTGTTTTTTTTTACAAATTTCTGATATGACATTAATTAATGAGTTATGGAACTTTATTCGTTGAAAAAGCGACGGGCGTATCATGCGCTCATTGCGCAGCTCTTTATTGTTACTTCTCTAATTGTAAAGAAAAATAAAAACCAAATGGTGAAGTGCTTAAAATAAGTTTAAACTCGCACACATTCATTACCACGAATTAATTAGAAAGATCGACAATGATTACTTTAATTCTGTCTAAATTTATTGATAACACTGAGATCTTTGATAGATGTCAAATGTCATCTCTACTTGAAGCAGTAACTGCTGAGCCTTCCGAAGAACCTGATCTTTAACTTTTCTCATTGCAAATAACTCGAATAATTCTGCCTATCGTTAATGTAGCAATCGGAGATTAGTCGGAGATCGGTGGAATATAACGACTGACATTATTCTGGTTACATTGCAAAAGGGCCTGTGTGAGCTTTTGTCATCACTTGGCGTCCGTCGTCTGTCGTGGTCCGTCGTCTTCGTTGTCCGTCGACGTCCGTGAACTTTTACAAAGATCGTCTTCTCTGAAACAACTGGGCCAAATTTAACCAAACTTGGCCACAATCATCAATGGGTATCTAGTTTTAAAAAAATGTGTCCGATGACCCCGCCTGTCGCATCCATGTCCAGTGCACAATTTAAAAGCAATATTGTCGACATCGCGATATTTACAATGTTTACACGATATCGTTTCAACATCCTACACATTGTAAGAACTCTTATATATTGTTTACATCATAAACATCGCGATGTATATAATGTAGTAACGATATCGTGAAAAAGCGACGGGCGTATCATGCGCTCATTGAGCAGCTCTTTATTGTAAAAAAAAATAATAAATAATTATATATTTTTTTACAATAAAGAGCTACGCAATGAGCATGAAAACATCGTTTACATCGCGATATTCACAATGTTAACACGATATGGTGTCAACATCGTTAACATTGTAAGAACTCTTATATACTGATTAACCTCGTTGACATCGTTAACATCGTGGTGTATACAATGTATTAACGA